TGTCAATTTATATGAATTTATTTCAATCATTTGATGTCACCGAATGTGCTTAGCCAACTCGAGTTAATTCAATAAATCGAATGTACCACCAACACCCGGAATGTTAATCATGTTATAAGAACTTTAAAGGTTTTAAGTTACAATTTAGTTAGTTGCTATTATGGTATTGATGAACTTGAAAACTACTCTGGATGATGTCGAAAGAACATCTAGTAGTTAAGCTTGTTCACTGAAGTGCCTTATTATTACGTACGTACGGAACAAAGAACCTTTTGACTCGACACGAGGTAATGCAATTTTAGTTATATATTAGTTATATATTCTACTCTTTAAGCCGAGAGTTTGTTCCTTTACATTTTTGTGTTTAGATTTACATGTTAGAATCTTGAGTTTAGAAATAAATTTCTTTTACTATTTATATTAAACAGGTAACTTTGAATCATACTTTTTCTTAGGTTGATTTTTTATTGTTTTCTTTTTTTAATTTTGGGATATTTTAAGATCTAAATATTTTTGTTATTTTGCAAAGTTTAGATAAAAATTCGAGACGGCACACGCCAAACAAGATGCCGATCCAAATCATGAAGAATCTTCATGAAATTTGTCTCTCAAGTCGTACAACGAAAGATAATCATAAGAGAGGTTGTTGATGGTTTATGTAATTGCGGGCTTCAATCTAACTAGGCGTTGGTGACACATTTGTCGACAGACGAATGAAAATGGATGGTTCCTGTGGAACATCCATTCCATCAAGAAAACTCATAATCACACTATTATGATGTAACAGCTTAAGTCCACTGCTAACAGATATTGTTCGTTTTAGCTTATTACGTATCGCCATCAACTTCACGATATTGTTCGTTTTGGCTCGTTACGCATCGCTATCAACTTCACAATTTTAAAACGTGTCTGTTAAGGAGAGGTTTTCACACCTTTATAACAAAAATGTAAAAAAAAAAATGATTTGTTTTCCTCTCTAACCAACGTGGGATCTCACAATCCACCCCCTTCGAGGCCCAGCGTCCTCACTGGTACATTGCTCGATGTATGGCTTTGATACCATTTGTAACAGCCCAAACCCACCACTAGTAGATATTGTATGCTTTGGCCTATTACGTATCACCATCAACCTCACGATTTTAATTTCTGCTTGAAAGAGGTTTCCACACCCTTATAAAAAATGTTTTGTTTCTCTCTAACCACCTTTATAAAAAAATAGTTTGTTTCCCTCTCTAACCGAGGGGATCTCAAGTTATATCTATACGGAATAATAAAAGTAAATTTACCTCCTTCTAAGTGCTGAGTCTTTCGCTTCTGCAAATTTGCAGCAGCTTGATACAGTTCCAAAACAATATCAACTTGTTAAGTACAGAGGGTATTTTGTTCAAGAGGTTTTGAGCAGTGCAGCTCGAGTAAGATGAAATATTCAAACGCTAGCATACACAACTCTTTCGATAGCGGTCGCCTAATTCACGAGCAATGCCATTTGCGTATGAGTTCTCAAATCGACGACAAATAAATCAGCTAACATGAATCGACGAGTCTTATGTAAGAATATACTTTCGAAATACTTGAAAGAATGGTTACTGGGACGGATTGCTTAAGCTGTAGATATTTCCAATCAATCCAACAATACCAACAATGACAGCAAGACCTAACATCAACCATGATAGGAACTTTTCTGTAGCGTTCAAGCTCCCCGGCCCGCTCGTCTTGCTTAGCTTTAATGCAACAACCGATGGCAATATGAACCCCAGCGACACCGCTGATGTTGCCCCTGTAAACTTAAAGGCCATCCAAATGTTGGGAATCATGGTTGAACCCAAATAGATCAGTGCCAACAACACAACTGTCAAGGCCAGAGATCTCTTCTTGCTCTCCGAAAGAGGTGCAGATCCCTCGAATATCAAGGCGTCGACAGTTTGTCGTAAGGAGAAATGGATAACTGGAAACACAAGAACTAAATGAAGAATATAACCAATTCGAACAATGTAATTCAACGCAAAGCTGAATCGAATTCCTAGGTTCTTGTCAAAGTTCGTCAGCACATCGGACTCGGTATCGTTTCCAAAAAGTAGATAACCAGAAATAGCAGTCAAAGCATAAACTAAAATGCATATCACAGTTGTCATCCTCCCCACTGTATTCATCTTCTGGGGAGACCTCGTTTCGAGCTCGTTATAGATAGACGGGACATTGAAATGACAGACATAAGCATTGGTCATTATCGGAACCACAACAAGAAGGTCTAAAATCGCCTTCTTCGATCCGAAATCAGGACTCATTCTCGGAGGCTCAATCGTTCCTTGTGCAAGCTTAATCAATGCTATGGCACAAGCAACTACAACAAAGACAACTGCAAGAGCTACTGAAGCAGCAGACGTCAAACTCAAGGAATCAATCTTGTTGAGAGCACAGAGAGGTGCTAGAAAAACCACCAGCACAACCAAAATCAAAAGCTTTCTATGATCCCAAAATCCATGCCCCAACCACTGATCAAAAACCCCAGAATGATGAACAGAACCAGACATAACATCGCCAATAATAATCAAATAAACAATCAAAACACCAGCATTGTTCACAATTATACAGATTTCAGTCAGAATCTTCATGGATTTCCCATATGCACAATGAACAACCTCCCCATATGAAGAAGCTTTAGAAATAACCAAAAATCTCACTAACAATTCAACGCTAAACTCAGATAAAATACCGATCAAAACTATCAGAACAAACCCCAAAACCACTCCAAGAACTTTCATGGTGGCCGGTAGAGCCATAATCCCAGCGCCAATAATCGACGTTGTGAGATTAAAAACAGCTCCAGAAACCCCCGACCCCCCTCGAGATTCCCCAGTGATAAGCGGATGGCTATCGACATCAAAATCCAAATCATCGAAGAGATCATCCCTACCATCCGCATTTCCATTCAATCTTTTGGATCCTATTAAACCTTCCTCATCGGAATGTTTAGGGGCAGCCGATCTGAGGTTTTGGATATCAATCTGGGATTGCAATTCAACATATCTAGTTTTACTATCCATTTCGATGCATAAACGTCAACAGTTTATGCAACAATCAGATCGAGGTTCAAAACAACATTGAGACTGGCGAAATCCAGGAAGAAAACAATTGAGGAGAAAAGAAAAACTTACTTCAACAAGAACGGAACTGAAACCTCTTCTTTCTCCGAGGAAACAAACAAATCAAATGAAGAACCCTAAATCTGAATAACAACCAAACAGGGAATTTGAAGATCGGAAAGCTCCGTTAATGGTAGACTTTTCAACGGGATTTGATTCCCTCTTCAAAGCTCCAAATAAAAAAACCTTAAATACAGAGTTTGAATCAGATGGAAATCTGGATCCAGTTATTGTAATACGATCAGTCAATCTTTTGACTTCATCTGATGAATGACGTGGCAACATCTTACTGGGTTTTAATCCTTTTTCAGATATGGTTCTTTCTAGAAATGGCCGCACCAAATCCAACCTCGCAGCTTGAGTTAGTATTTTAAATTCCATTTTAATTGTTTAAATATGAGATAACATTAGAGATATTCATTTAATCATTCAAATTGGGGATTTGTGGAAACCAATCAGAAATATTAATTAAACTAAGCTGAAATAAGATTACATTTCTCGTATATAAAATTATCGTGTAATATTTAATTTTAATTTTTTTATACGTTTTACATTTTTAATAAAAATTTTATTATAACTTTTTCATTGAAAATGAATATACGCTCCAATATTTATAAAAATAAATACAGAATTCCACGAAATAATAAATAAAATAAGAGACAATGAAACATCACGAATTAATAGAGGTTGAATTATTCCACGACACTTTTTGAACTTTTTATTATTATTATCATTATTATTATTTGAAAATTTTTAAAATTTATTTTAATTTGTTGAAATTCTAAATTGAGTTGAGAAAAATATTGTATTGTTAATTTATGAGGATTATAATAATAAATTATCCAAAATGATAAAAAAAAAAAAAAAAGTCGTAATAGGATGGCTAAAATCAACTTAAGAGGCTGCTTGAAAATGATAGAACACTTACCATACTTTATATTAATCAATTATGTAACAAACATTATAATATGAATCTCGATAATCAATTTTATAGAATATACATCTAGAGGAATGTTTATAAATTCATATTATTCATATAATTTATGAAACAAAATTGTTGTGCAACTCTAACTCAAGCCCACTGTTAGTAAATATTATCCGATTTGGCCTATTATGTATCATCGCGTCATAGTTTTAAAACGCTTCTTTTAGGGAAGGTAAACCTTTATTATAAGGAATGCTTTTCAAACGATGTTGGATCTCACAATCCTTCACACCCTTATTATATAAGAAATGTTTCGTTCCACTCTTCAAGCGATGTTGGATGAATCTCACAATCCACCCTCTTAACGTGACTGTTATTAGGGAGAGATTTTCACACCCTGGGAGTCATAGAGAGATTTTCACACCCTTGGGAGTCATGGGAAAGATTTTCACCATCCACTCTCTTAACCTGTCTGTTATTAGGGAGAGAGTTCTCGCTGACACACCATCTTGTGATACCATCTGTCCACACCCTTGTATCCTTTTGTTTCTCCGTCCAACCGATGTAGAGTCTCACAATCCACCCCTTAGGAGTCAAGGTTCTCACCGACACACCGCCTTGTGATACCATCTATCTGCTTTGACCCGTTACATATCGTTGTCAACATCACAGTTAACATTACAGTTTTAAAACACATCTAATAGAAAAAAAGTTTTCATACCCCTATTATAAGGAATGTTTCGTTTCCCTCTCAAACTAACGTGGGATTTCACACTTTATGAAGTCATTCCCAGTCCCACAATGTTATCACGAACCGATCCATGAAACAATTTTATCATTCCTCCGCACGCTTCATGATGTCATCCCTAGTCAGTGGAAACATTAGCACAAGAAAACAAAGATCTCAAGAGCTAATAATAAGACAGCAAGACTGACAAGATCACTTCTGTACGGATGGAAGAGCATCCATTTCCAGTTTTGTATATTAACAGAACAGATAACCAAATAACTTAAAAACTGCATTATTCACATTCTCCAGTGCCTTAACAACAGAGAAGATATTTACAAAATGAGCATCCTTTCTTTGTACCACTTTTTCTGCCATGGCTTTTGCAAGCTTCTGCAATTCTTATCCAATTTTTGCAATGAACTGAAGTAGATTGAAACTAAAGCTTTTAAGACTCCACCAAAAACACTTGGTCCCTAAAAGCTCATGGCATGAAACAAATCCAAAACTATGCACAGTTTAGTTGGATATCATTATTCACAGGTCTGCCTTTATGGCAGTTGGATCACAGCACATCCTCTTCTTCACAGCTACTCAGGGCGGAAGCTTGCTAGATTCGGGAGGTCGGTAGATTGAAGCTTTTTGATGTCACTTGCCGAAACCCGACAGGCCTCCAGTGTCAACTGCTTTAAATTCTTCAGAGTTTTCAGATGTCGCAGTCCTGCAGAGGTGATTCTCGAATTCGAAATATTTAAAGAGACCAACCCTGTTAAACCTGTGCATAGACATTGGAGTAGAGACTTTAGGACATACATAGACATTTAAGCAGCAACATATAGAATTTAACAGAAGAAGGCGCATAAACACGGAGTGAGTTACCAAGCGACACAAAGAAAATGTAGGACTGTTTATGAATTTAGATTGAGTACCTGAAACTAACTCCAAGGTTTTATCAGTCAGATTGCAATTCTGGGATAGATTGAGCACCATCAAGGAAGACAGGTCTTTAATGTTCTTAACACCAGCATCAGTCAATCCACCACCACATATTTCCAGGGACTGTAGATTCTTGAAGTCTGGTCAAACGAAACACGGGAGTGAGAAGTGGAGAACTCGTATATAAAAAACATCCCATAACAAGTATAGACCGGCTTGAAATGACCTCTTAAGTGTTCAAAAACATAGTCATTCCAAACAACTCCTAAATCTCGTCAAAGATATAGCTTGTTAGTCGAAGGGGATATATAAATGGCTTTTGGTTCCGCTACGTGTTAGTTCATTTGCAAACTTCTAATAAGTAGTCCATTAACCAGAACTTTTGAACTTTTCAGGGTTATTTTGAGTCCATGTTGTAAAATACGTTCTTCATTAACTAAACAGTGTGTAAATATTACTATGAATATGCACATACTTCGCAAATAGTTTGTTCCAGAGTCTGTAATACGAGCTCCGAAAAGATCCAGATGAGTCAATCCTACTAAACCTGCAAAAGAGGAATATAAAAAAGACCAATCATACAAGATGAACTCCGAACGACCTCGAGCATTTCTCTAAAGCATATTTACCAGTTAGGGAAGCGAGTCCAATGTCCGTAATTTGGCGAGTATCCAAATTAAGTGATTTAAGTGATGAGAGTCCAGAAAGCCGTTTTAAGCCAACGTCAGTAACTAAGGTGAACGAAAGATTTAATTTCTCCAGATTAAGCAAACCTACAACATAACATAACATAACAGAATGAAGGATGTGAAATAACCAAACTTACAAGATTTAGATGATACTAAAAAGCCAAAACAAACGAAAAACAGATCAAAACTTGCATACTTTAATGCAGAATACATCATATTCATGGACCTTTAATCAATCAATTTAATTTATTCGTCCACAGGTTCAATGAATTAAGATCAACATCGGACAGTACCAAAAGAATTCTGCCCTGTAATTCTTGCTTGAATCTTAAGAACTTGAACACACCCAAACTATCAGCAAGCAACTCGTATATAGAATAAAAATAATCTTATGAGGTACCACAAAAGATCTGCCAGGTTCATTCAAATTTAAGTGGTCACACATTAAATACAAATAAATATGTAACAGCTCAGAGCCACTGCTAGCAAATATTGTCCTTTTTAGGCTAGCAATTATTGTCTTTTTTAGACTTTTCCTTCAAGGTTTTAAAACACGTCTACTAGGGAGACGTTTCCACGCTCTTATAAGAAATGTTTCGTTCCCCTCTCTAACCAATGTGAGATCTCACAATCCACCCTTCTTTGGGGCCAGCGTCCTTACTGGCACACTGCTCGGTGTCGAGCTTTGACACCATTTGTAACAACCCAAAGCCAAAACTAGCAGATAATGTCCTTTTTGGGCTTTCCCTTCTGGGCTTCCCCTCAAGGTTTTAAAACGCGTCTACTAGGAAGAGGTTTTCACACCCTTATAAGAAATGTTTTGTTCCCCTTTTCCAACCAATGTGGGATCTCACAAAATATCCATGGATCGGATAAACCCTTATTGCTAGGCAAATATTTCCTGAAAAAATAAAATAAACTAACTACAAAAACAATATATTGTCAAGGTAGTGCTAATGTCTGACCAGACAAATGGCGAAGACCATTGCTTCCAACATCAGTGTCAGATAACTCCAAACATTTCAAACGGTGGAGAGCTGAAACAAAGTAAGTTGGTAGAAATTATAAGCAATTCAATTGAATAAAACAGTACAGCAACCAAAAGAAGTCATAGATCGCACTAGGGATAGAACTACAGGCAGTTCAACGTGTAGTTCGAGGTACCAGGCTACATAAAGTTTAAGCACACTGTCAAATTAGGTACAACGCTTACATTAATTTGATAAACCATCTGAAACCTCTCTACTATACTAAACTACAATTCGAGCAATGATACTTTTTGGCCTAAAAAAAGGAACCATAAGCATGAAACTCTAAGCACTTCATCTTTGTAACACATAAGAAGAAAATTCAAGAGCAAACAGTTTATAAATGATCGTTTACGAAGCCCACCAAGAGGCCTGCACCTAAGTTAGTGAATCTTTTATATGAATGAATAATGCATGAATATTTTTTGAACAGAGACTGCTATGAGTGACAGTTCTTATGGCTATGGCAACTCTCTTGCTTCTACTATAGTTCCTGATATAATGCATTGGTAAGAAAACTGCAGATATTGGACTTGGTAGTGATAATTTCATCAATGACCCAGCAAACTGAAGGTCAGGAGTTTGCTTCTACAGGGATCTTAAGGAACAGCAAACTTCAGTTGATGAACAGGGTTAAACAAGAACAAAGCACAAACGAAAATGATACAAAATCAAAAAGAGATGTTAGAAGTTTAAATGTAAACCTTTCAAGTTAACCAGGCCATCATCCTCAATCCTGCATGAATCCAAGTTCAAGCTCTCCAAATTTGTTAGACCTGCTTTGTAGAAAATTTCATAAGTATGTATGTATGTATGTATGTATGTATGTATGTATGTATGTATGTATGTATGTATATATATGTATATATTATGCAATATAATGGATAAATACTTCATAAGCTTTATGGACTTGACATCATAACGTCGTAAATTTATTGAGCAGAAACGAAAAATTCAATTTCAAACGCTGTCTATTGAATATCAGTGGCAGTGAGCTGATGGGCAGACAGCTACCCTTGCAGCCGTATTAAAATGGATTTTTTTTTTTAAAAAATCAGATGGTAAGGTAAACCCACCTTTCAAGTGACCCAAACAATCATCTGTTATGTCATTGAACCCCAAGTTCAATATTTTCAAAGCCCCGAGCCCTGAAAGAAAGTAGCTGATAATAAGTACGACAGCACGAGCGTGAGAGAAGGAGAGAGGCATGGGAATAATACCAAAAAGAACAAAGGCAAGCAATTTCATGAAATGGTTTCTTGTAGAAACTTACTAGAAAATCCCTCACTTCCATCATCAGTTATATGACATCTGCTAAGGTTCAAATATTGAAGGTCACCAAGAGCTGATCAAAAGGACACCCAAAAGGATAAGTATGGTATGATGAATGAATATGCATATATACTTTAGTTTTTCTTCCAATTTTGAAAATAAATTTACAAATGAAGAATACAGTGTCTATCATTGACGTGTATTTTACCGAACAGTGTTTCGTGAAGAACTTGAAAAATAGACTAATTCACACAAATTTTAGATGTTAAATTACTGGAACCCTGAAAAGGATAAACAGGTGTTGAGAATAATAACCCGAGAGAGTGTTCAAACAAGCAGCTGTAACTGGACAACCCTCTAAGTTCAATAGCGAAAGTTTGTGCAGTCCTGTAAAGCAAAAAAAATGTAACCCACAGAATCATTTATGGTACAAAAATCAGGAGACTTGGCAAAACAAAGATAATGGATAACCTGCTATATAAAACGTTGGGGATCAGATCAATGAATAATTGCCATTAGGAAATAGTTAATACGCAATGATATAAATCAAAAGGAATAGCACACGCAAAATGAATATGTCAATACTAAAAAGCATCCAGCTAAAGTGAGCCTCCAGCTCTGTTAGCTTCCCTTCCAGCCCTCAAAAATAGAGCTTCAAACTCGGTGAATATAAAACCACCCCTATATTTGGCATTAGAATACAAATGAATGGGCAACGGCAACACCTACCTTTCAAGTAGGCAATACCAGCATCTGTGACCTTACTGCATGAAATTTGCAATCCTTTCAAGCTTGTTAGCCCTGTAGAGTGAACGAAATAATTGTTTACAAAACAAAAATGCGCATTTTAATCATAAAGAAAACACCACATTCAACCGAAGTTACTTTAAAGGTCTATATAAACTGAAAAAGAATTGACATCTACAAGAAATCTGAGTTGAACAAAAAATAACATCAATATCAATGTATATTAAAAGAAGAAAACCTATGTTTACGAGCAGAGAAGGGGATTCATAATGAAAGAAGTCTATGGAAATCGCTCGATAGTGTTTCTCTTGTATGAGCAAGAAATAGAACCTTGCACCCACATCTTGACTGCACATAACAGACACTAACTAAACTAGTAAATCCTGAGAGACAATCATTACCGGAGAGAGGCTTCATATCAGAATCTGTGATGCAATTACACCATTTGATATTGAGAGACTCCAACTTTGTTAATCCTGAGAAGGTGTAAACATGGAAATTGAAAGGTGTTAATCCTGAGAAGTCACTCAATTATAAGGTAAACTTTTGTCGGGGTAATATTCTGTCGAGAAAAGAATATTTCAAGAAGAAGAAATTACCTTGGAGATGAATAAGTCCCCCATGTATTCCAGGACATTTCTCTAAATCCAGTCTGATCAAGTTTACAAGATGAGCAAAGACGCTCATCCCTTGAGCAGTAATTTCATTGTTTTTCCTAAAACTCAAACTTGTCAACCTTGAGAACCCTGAAAGATTTGCTCATCATGGTTATACTAAAGCCCAACAGAGCCCCTCAGAGAGATCATCTTCTCAGTTGCACGAAAACGAGAATCATATTGAAAATAATTGGATATATACCTCCAATATGTGCCAGTCCACGGTCCGATATATGTTCACAGAAGTTTAAATTTAAAGTTTGGATATTCGAGCAATTCCTGAGGTGCATCAATCCACCATCGGTTACATCCGAGCCAGAAAGATCCACAGAAAGTACAGAAGATCCTTGTGAGGAGATGACATCGATCCAATCATCGTTCACCCCTGGACATTCTCCAAGGTGAAAATCCTGAAAGTATACAAAAACATCACAGGAGTTATATCAATTCAATTGGTTCAGAAGATACGTAGAAAATACTAACTAGGATTGATGCCAACTGATGAAACAGTTGACTCCCAGTTACCTGGAGAGCACAATCTCGAAAAGCTTGGATCGAAATATCGGTTATACGCTGAGAATACACCAATTCATTGAGGATTAGCTGAGTAATATCCCTTGGGAGCATACCAAAGCTATCAAATTGATCTATATCCTATAATCACAAAGAACACAAAGAAATTAGCGACCACATGAACACCAGCAGACACCAACGTCACACATGGAGGTAGCAAAAGTTCAGTACATTGCAAACTCGACGGACGCTTAAGTCCAGAAGAGAAGGGCATTTCCCTCTTCGAGGATCCATGTCGATAAAAGGCCGAGAAAATGATGTTGTCAACCATTTGGAACTTCCACTCTTGCAATATTTTCCAGATACTCCTCTAGCCAACCTATCTTCATTAGCTAGCTGATCTCTCTTCCTAGAACAAGCGCCCCCCATTGAGAAGATGTCCCGTAATCAATTTATATCATAAAAACTTCAGCAGAACACCATTTTAACCCATTCAATAACCAAGAAAGAACACATGCACGTTACTTCACCTGCCAAAAATAGAGCATAGCAGGATTAAGTTCATTAATCTCAATAATACATCTCTAGCCAAAAACATGATCATAAAGCAAGCACAATCCATGAATTATAGTAAATATTAACCCCCAGAAAACATGATTATACTCATCTGACGTTTCTAAACATGATTTCTGGTTTACAAGCAAAAGTAACAGGAGTTTCAAAATAACAAAACCAATTTCTTGAAATCCCCATTACAAGCTGAAAATATCTCGTCATTAATGAAACAAAATACTGAAATTTCACATCGTAAATTCACTCAAGAACAAAAGTGAAGAATGGAATACTCAAAAACTTAAAAGACAAAATCAAAAGACCATTCAAACGATTAAAAGATTGAATTAAAAACACGAGAAAACCTCTGATCGCACCACTTAAATTGCAAACGCCATCGTTTTTAGAGAGAACTTTCATGTAAAAAAACGATCATACGACTAAACAGCATCATCAAGCCTCTAAAATTCACTTTACCCTTTCACTAACAATCAAAAACCCTCCACTCCACAAAGGAAAGATTAAAAAATTTCTAAAGGAAAACAACATGATCATCAGAAAAGGAAAACGAAACACAATCATCTATATAAAAAAGAACAAGACCAACGATCATACCTCATCATGATCAGATTGAATACATTAACTGAAAAGGAAAAAGGAAAAAAAAAAAAAAAACGATTCCCAGAAGAAGAACAAGAAGGCTGAGAAGGAACGAAACAAAGAAGTAATTTTTCTTTATATATATATATATCAAAAGCAGTCTCTCGCGCAAATGGTTTTTCTCCTTTTTCTTCTTTGGGAGTGGGTAGCTGCAATAGAAGAAGAGTGAACGAGGGGGCCGGAAAAAGAGAAAGGTGCGAGGTGTCCCGTACCCGAACCAAACTCCGAAGCAACTGATCTCTGACACGTGTGCTTCGGTTGATTAGATAAGGAAGCCGGTTAAGGTCCCACTTTTTTATTTATTTTATTTCGTCTACGTTTTAAAATCTCTATCTTCATAAAATGATTGATTTGATATTTTCTTTTAATTTATTTTCATAATTTTATAATTTTAAAAAATAGAACATAAGAAACAAAATAATTATCAAATTAGATTTAATTTTAAATTTATTTTTGGGATTTGGATTTGTTGGATTCGAGTTTATCCATTAGTGTGAGGGCCCACTGACGTGGCTTCTGGAGATTGGACACGCAATGTTTTTTTTTATTATTATTATTATTTGATTGATTTACTGATTTAATTAATGAGAAAACTATAGATAGTGGAAGATTTTTTCAAAGAAGTTGTGGTCCCCTGCGGTCGAGCCTATTGTAGAAATGTGTGTTTCTTTTGTTTGTTTTGGCTTTAAGTAAAGTATTTGATTTATTTTTTAATATAGTTTCGAATATATAAACATTTTTTAATTACTCCATTTAATACAATTTTTAAAATATAAAATTTATTATTTGATTTGCATGATTTTTTAAATAATAAAAGGGTAAGTATTTTATTAATTATATAATTCCTTTTCCATAATTTTTTAATAAATAATAAAATACGATGAGATTTAATTTATTAAAATCATATGAAATATGGGATTTTGATCTGTATTGTTTTTAATATTAAAATAGAAAATCATTTTATTTTAAAATAGGACAAATTAATTAAATTTAATTATACCAAATAAAATCTTCTTTAACCTAAAATAATTTAATAAGTCGGAAGAGTTAGTATTGTGGAATTTTTTTTTTTTTTTTAATTATTTTTTTAGAAACATAACACTCCTAACTAGAAAATTGTACTAATTTATTTTCTTTAAAAAAATAATATAAATCTATAAACTAGTAGTTCCGCCGCCGGCTGAACGACGGTGTTACACGAGCTTCAGACCCTTTTGCGTATTTTTTGTTTCTGCCGACTAGGGCGGCCGCCGGTTTTCTAGACTGTGACCCTACCGCCGTTCAATGCCCTCTGCGTCTCAATAACATTCTCTGCTGTCGTTATCTGTACCAATTTCTCCGTGTTTTTTCCTGTTCGAATCCCGACAACGAAGACCAAGAGGAGTGATCTGCTCCTCGTGTAAACGCTTCGAGTAAGTTTTAGCTTCTTTTTTCTTTTTTCTTTTGAGACTCTGTTCGAGTTCTTATTATCGATTCATTTGTCGATGAAGCTCTTTTTTAAATGTATGTCTCGTCCGTCTCTGCGTGGTTCGAATTGAACGGGATTGTATGTCGGAGTCGGAATCGAGAGGCTGGTTATTGTCTGTAGTTGGTTTCTGCATTTAGGGTTTGTTGTTTGGCTATTTGTAATTGATATCTGCGTGTAATATGAAATCTAATGGTTTCTAGGGTTAGCGGAGAGGTGTTTTGGGATTGAATTGTTGGATGATGAAAGTCCCACATCGGTTAATTTAGGGAATGGTCATGGGTTTATAATCAATGCAATACACTCTCCATTGGTATGAGACCTTTTGGGAAGCCCAAAGCAAAGCCATGAGAGCTTATGCTCAAAGTGGACAATATCATACCATTGTGGAGAGTCGTGTTCGTCTAACATGAATTTCATTATACGATGGATGTACAAATGAAGAACGAAAAGAGCTTGGACGAAGAAGAAGATGATTTTGTTGAATATGTTCCTGTGGCGAAGCGTAGAGCAATGGAAGCTCAAAAGATTCTTATGCGAAAGGGCAAAGCTTCTGCCCTTGAAGAAGAGTTGGAGAAATCAAGGCTTGCCGAAGCCAAGCCGAGTCTCCTCGTAAAAGCATCTCAGATGAAGTGTGACCAACCAGAAGTTAGCCCAACCGAGCAGATCCTTTAGCAAGAGAAGGAGCTGATCGAGCACTTATCCGATCGTAAAACTCTAATGTCAGTTCGTGAACTAGCAAAAGGAATTACTTACATAGAGCCATTATTAACTGGATGGAAACCGCCATTGCCTATCAGGAGGATGTCGAGAAAGGCGTGTGATTTGATTCGTAAACAATGGCACATAATAGTCGATGGTGACGATATTCCACTGCCGATTAACAACTTCAAGGACATGAGACTCCCTGAACCAGTTTTGAAGAAGTTGGAAGAAAAGGGAATCGTGCAGCCGACTCCGATTCAGGTCCAAGGTCTACCTGTGATTTTATCTGGCAGAGATATGATTGGGATTGCATTTACTGGTTCAGGAAAGACCCTAGTTTTCGTTCTTCCTTTGATAATGATTGCTTTACAAGAAGAGGTCATGATGCCCATTGTTTCAGGGGAAGGACCTTTTGGCTTGATCATTTGTCCTTCAAGGAGCTTGCTAGACAGACCTATGAAGTGGTGGAACAGTTCTTAATACCCATGAAGGAGGCTGGATATCCAGAACTTAGGCCTTTGCTCTGTATAGGCGGAGTGGATATGCGGTCACAGATCGAGGTTGTGAAGAAGGGTGTTCATATCGTTGTTGCAACCCCCGGCAGGTTGAAGGATATGTTGGCGAAAAAGAAAATGAACCTTGACAATTGCAGGTATCTTACTTTAGATGAGGCTGATAGATTAGTGGATCTAGGATTCGAAGACGATATTCGGGAAGTTTTTGATCATTTCAAGGCTCAACGCCAAACACTATTGTTTTCTGCTACAATGCCTACCAAAATTCAAAATTTTGCAAGAAGTGCACTAGTAAAGCCTGTCACTGTTAACGTCGGAAGAGCTGGAGCTGCAAACCTCGACGTCATCCAGGAGGTCGAGTACGTGAAACAAGAGGCAAAAATTGTTTACTTGCTCGAGTGTCTGCAGAAAACTCCACCTCCAGTGTTGATATTTTGTGAGAATAAAGCCGATGTTGACGACATTCACGAGTATCTACTCTTGAAAGGTGTTGAAGCAGTGGCAATTCATGGAGGAAAAGATCAGGAAGAAAGAGAGTATGCTATCTCTTCATTTAAGGCGAGCAAGAAAGATGTATTGGTTGCTACTGATGTTGCATCAAAGGGTTTAGGTTTTCCAGACATTCAACATGTTATCAACTACGATATGCCAGCTGAAATTGAGAACTACGTTCATAGGATTGGACGAACTGGTCGGTGTGGTAAGACGGGAATTGCAACAACTTTCATAAACAAGAATCAAAGCGAAACGACCCTCCTTGATTTAAAGCACCTTCTGCAAGAAGCAAAACAGAGGATTCCACCAGTGTTGGCTGAGCTGAATGACCCTATGGAGGACGTGGAGGCGATCACCAATGCAAGTGGGGTCAAAGGTTGCGCTTATTGTGGCGGGCTTGGTCACCGTATCCGTGACTGCCCCAAGTTAGAGCATCAGAAAAGCATGGCGATTGCAAGTTCAAGAAGAGACTATTTTGGATCAGGCGGCTATAGAGGAGAAATTTGAGAAAGCTAAGAACAGAGGAAGGTATTTTTGTTTGATTTCCCCTTCCCTGCAGCTTGTAACTCTATAAAACTGATGAATTAGAGTGGTAATTGTTTGTCTGCTTTGACATTTGCTAGTCGTCATTGATTTGATATCAGGGACAATGCATGTGATCAAGAATCGGTGTCGATTAACCTTACTATGGATATCATTGATTGACAGTCTTTACAAATGATGACAAAGAGAAGGGCATGCTGAAAAAAGAGTAAAATCTTGTCTTCCATCAGAACTTTCTGCAACAGAGATGAACTGAAGCAGATATGTGCATTCAGGTCAGTTGAGAGTCGTTGAGTTTTGACTTCTTTTCTGAAAGTAAATAGCCTAACAGATCAACAGCTAGTCAACTGGAACTTCTACATCCATTCTTATGCCTGATTTATCAAGAACCTGCGAAAGAATGGCATAAAATGAAAACATTCAGCTCTATAAATCAAGAACAATATCACTGTCCAAGCCGCTAACAGATATTGTCTTATTTGAACTTTTCCTTTCGGACTTCCCTTCAAGGTTTTTAAAGCACATCTTTTGGAGTTATGCAGCGAAACTAGTACTCATCTCTTTGGGTTTTTCCTTCTGGGCTTTCCCATCTACTAGGGGTTAAGTTTCCATGCTTTTATAAGGAATGTTTCGTTTCACTCTAATCAATTTAGGACCTCACGATCAAGTTGCTCAGTTGTGTTGGTTTCTTATACTCTCTAGTGAAGTATGGTAAATCAATGAAACACGTCAGCACGTTAACAGTACCTTGATGCAGTCATCGAGTGTCAAGAGAGAGTTTCTTGTATAGCCTGCTTCTTGTAATAATTGGCACAATACTTGCTGCAATGGGAAAGAGAAACTAATAATAGTTCGTTTATGAAGGTGAAAGAAATAATGAGTACAAAGCAAATGTAGTTATTCCACTTCATGTGTTAGACTGGACTAAATATGTTCCTTTCGAGCGACGTAAATGCTCTCAATGCCTATGCACGAGCAAACATATCATCGAGGAGATGCACCAATTAATAGTATGCATGGATTGATGTCTCTCTCAGAGGATTTATATGTTATGTATTTGATACTAAATGAATCACATAATGATAAATTGGAGAAGTAACACAGATGCGAAACATCGAACAAAAGGAAAGAAGACGTCATGCCTCTCTCTCCTCGTCGGAGATGAATGAACTAGACAAATCCCCAAGCACTTCAATGATGTGGTTGAAAGACACCTTCCGGTTGCAGTCGACATCATATAGCTTGAAAATAACTGAAATAAGGAGACACTAGCAATTATTAATACGAAATGAACTATCTCAAAGTAGTTTTCTTAGGTGAGAGAACTCCTTGAGAGGACATTTCAAAGTCAATATCATGTATTAATGTCAGTTCATGACAACCAAGTTTTTTCCATTTAGTCCTCAAACTTATAATTCATGATATTTTTTGGTTTACCGTTCTAGATATAATGAATTATAACTTATAAGTTGGCTTCTTGTGACAAATTTGCTCCAATAATTGAGGAAGACACAACCAAAAAGTTCGATGACTTTTGAGTAAAAATGTAACAGCTCAAGCTCACGACTATCTAACATTCTCAGTTTTAGCTCGTTATGTATCGATGTCAGCCTCACAATTTTAAAACGCGTATGTTAGAGAGGGGTTTCAACACCCTTATAAAGAATGTTTCGTTCCCTCTCCAAGAACGTGGAATCTAACAATCCACCCCCTTGTGAGCCTAGCGTCCTCACTGACACACTATTAAGTGTCTACCTTTGGTACCATTTGTAACAGCACAAGTCTACTGCTAGTAGATATTATCCATTTTAGCTCGTTACATATACCCATCAGCCTCACGATTTTAAAACGCGTGTACTAGGGAGAGGTTTTCAACCACTAACAAGGAATGTTTTGTTCTCCTCTCCAACCAATATGGAATCTCACAAAAAAACATGTTTCGTTCTCCTCTCCAACCAACATGGAATCTCACAAAAAAAAAACGACTACTTACCACCATAAGTATTGATGGCCAATAGGATCCCTAATGTTTTAAATAAGCATTGATTTTCAACCAAAACCCTCAAGCCTGATCAAAACCAGCAAAAGATGAACAAGCAGTAGCAAAACATGCACTTACATTCAATCTTATGGTGCAAACTAGCTTTAGCACTGAATGCTGACAAGAAAGCCACAAAATCCTTGAAATTCAAACCATCAACCATCTTGAGCAGACGCTGAAGATAACGACAGAGTAAAACAAAGAAATCACTTGCCATAAGTCACAACTCATACAACCAACACACAAACACACAATGTTTATATTCAATTTCAAAACAATACCTGAGAAAGTGGATTCATAGCAAATTCAGGAACTGAGAGGAACTCATCAGCTGAAATAAACCCCTTGGAATTTCTATCAAGCTGGCAGAATTTCTGAAACAATGACACTATTTCCTGTTGGGAGACTAACTTCAACACAGCAAAAAGTAAGGCAACCAAACCACAAACAAATCAAAGAACGAAACCAATCGAGACAAGGATAGATTAACCTACAAAGCTTATTGCAGTGCTCTTGAACTTCTTCAATATCATATTGAGTGAGCATCGATGAGGCATTCCCCATGAGTTCTTGCCCAATTTCTAAATGATACTAAGGAATCAAACTTCTGAAATCGGAAAACCCTCATAAAAACCGCTCAACCAAATCAGTGATCAAATACAGAGAGAATCGGAATAGAACAAGTAAGAACCTCAAATTTAATGGATCGACTGAAATTCAAACAATGAAGCTTCAAACGGATAGAAAACTGCGACAAAAATGGTGAAAGGGGAAAGAAGAACAGACCTGAAAACCACAGCTGACCTGATAATGAACGGTTTCTTTTACTTACTCACAGCAGATATATAAATTGAACCATCCCTGCTGCAGCTATCACCTGGACATCATCGAGACGCTAAAAGGCAGATATGAGTTTTCATGGAGCTTTTTTGTTATCATCGAAGGCGACGAAGATTATTCCCTTTCGTCGACTCATGTTGAGAATCAAGGGAAGCCTTAATCATGATTCATTAGCTTAAATGAGATTTATAATCCATAAATTTTATTTATTGACTTTTGTTTTATGGAGACTAATTGTTATTTAAGGTTTCATTAAATAACATTTATTTAATCATTAATGTTAAGATAAGAAGTCTAATTTGTTTATTTATTTATTATTAATTTACTTCCCACAATATCAACATTAGCAAACATATTATAAAAGTAATATCAAATAAAATAAATAATAAAATAACATTTATTCATTTGCACAATATAACATAGTCTATGAAAGTTAGTTGTAATATGGTAGAGGGTATCTATATAAGAGTTTGGAAAATGAGTCATTTAAAATTAATAAAAATATTTATAAAAGTTGTAATTTTATTTAAAAAATATTCATAAACTTAAAAAAAATAAATAAAATAAAATAAAAATACTCTTACTTTTAGTTTTGGATGGAGGTCGTTAATATTTTGTGAGATCCCATATCCATTGGAGAGATGAACGAGTGTGAAGGAGGACGCTGAGCCCTGAAGGAAGGGTGGATTGTAAGATCCCACGTCAATTGGAGAAGGAAGTGAGTGTCAGTAAAGACACTGCCTCAAACGGGTGTGAATTGTGAGATCCCACGTCGATTAGAGAGGAGAAGAAAGCATTTTTCGGAACGGTATAGAAACCGCATAGACTAGGTGAGATTTTTTATTTTAGGTTTTTTGTCTTAAATTTGTCTCATTAATTCAATTTATTATTATTTATTTTTAAATATGTGACCAGAGAAATTCCAAATTTTGACTTCTAAATTAATAACAAATATTTAATGTGCACAAACTACTATATTTTTATAATTTTTTAGACGGTAATTGTTATTATTATTATATCAAATCTTCGTAATTTAATATATTTTATTGAGTGAATCTAATTGACTGGGTAGGATAAGGTGAAGCAGACAAAATTTTTCTCGGAATGACCTATATGATCGACGAAATATAAGACTTATGTCTAATGTGGTGTTTTGTCCAACACACTATAAGCTGGATAAGTTAGTACGAATACGAGGTGGTTTCATTGCTAGTGTTGTCTAGTGACAGACAATCAGTGGTGTTATTGGGGAAGGTGTCGAAGTCTTCCTTCTAACTTAGTTAGCTTCTTACGAGTAGTCGACTTGAACCTCGACTCGGCTTCACCGACCTCGAGGCTTTTCCTGTTCCCTTCCAAATGGGTCGATTTTGATGGGCCTGATAGATTTGGGCCCAGGCCCACCAGCCTCATAACTCATCGTTTAACCAAATTAAAGAAAATAAATATAGCATGTAGGCATTGGCATGGGAGTGGGCCAGCCCAAAGGAGAAGTAGAGACAAGAGAGGATTCGAAATCCCATCCAAAAATCAAAGTCAACACCGACAACATGTCGCCGGACGCCACGTGGCATATAAAATTCAACGACGTCGTATTGGATAAAGACAAAAGGAAGAAGGCTAAAGTTGTCTTTTCAATAACGATCAACTTTGTTCTATCCGTCAAAAGTCAAATCCACGATCCTTAAATTAATTATAATTTTTTCTTTTTGGGAAAAAAATAAAAAAACAAAATAAAAAGTAATAATTTGTTTTCCTTTTTTATAATAATAATAATAATAATAATAATAATAATAAATGAGGAAAATGGGCCAAGATTTCAGTTCCTCCGTACAAATTTAAATTATTGTTTCAGGTTTGCATAATAGAATTTCTAAAATTTAGAAATATAAATTGATTTTAACAAAATATTTATATTAATATATTATAATCAACCTTGGTGAAGTCTTAATAGGTTATTTTATCTCCAATCAATAAATTTATATTTTTTAAATTATATTATTAATGTCAGATTGAGCATAATAAATAATCCATATATATATATATATATTTATTTTTATAACTTAAAAACAAATTATATCATGTTTACATGTTATATATTTTTCAACAACATTTTTTAAAAAATTGAGATTTCGAGTTGGTCTTTGAACGGTAAGATTATCCACGAGTTGGGTTGAAAAAATTTTTTGGATCAACCACTTAATATAGTTCACAACTCAACTCAACCTAATCTTCTCTCTTTTGGTTGAGTTTCAAGTTATTTTTTTTTTAATATATTTTTCTAGGATACATATAATATTAATATATAAAATATTAAATATGGCAAGTCATAAGACAGAACGACAAATTAAATATTCATAATTTTTCTAATAATTTTAAAAATAGGATAGGATCGTAACCTTATTTTGTTATGTTGACTTAACAAAAGTGTTAACTCGCCCGTTAATCTAAACTTTTAATTTTTAAGAATTTAACCCGATCCAAATTAAAAAAAAAATAATCGAATTAAATTTTTATATTTTAGATGAGCATTCTTATTAGATGGCAGTGACAGGAGAGAGAAAAAAAAACAAGCTTGTTGGATAATTTTATTGGATAATGCAAAGCCCTATCCCAATCTCCAACTTTCGAGGAATCACGGAAATCTGGTTTTTTTTTTTTTTTTTTTTTTTTAAGCAAAAAAGTCTTTTAACGTATTCTTTCTAATTATAATAATATTTGATAACATACTTGTGAGCAAACTTAAGAAAATTCGAGAATCCACGACGCACTCGTCCAGAGCAACTATTTTAGTTATGGGATTGGCCTCGCCTAAAATAGGTACACGAAAGAGTGAAGACTAATAATCCCGAACCTTCCATAAGCGAGTGGTATGTTTATTGGGCACCCCATGAATTTCTTATTTGTACGGCGAGTATTATGGATCTTTCAGTCTATAAAAGGTTTATTTTCCAGTAGAATATTCAAATTATGAGAGGTTCGGTTGCTCACCTAACCAAGCTAATTTGTAGTTTCAAAAAGCTTGCATTTTCTTGTTTATGGAGTACTTAAAGTAAATGATAATTTAATTGAATAAGTTATAATGTTATATCTTAAATTAAATTACTAATTTAAACTATATTAAAATAAATTAGTAATTTAACTCAAAATAGATTATAAATTAGTTTTTTTTTTTTTTTTTTTTTTTTAATTACGTTAGGGATAATGCAAATTGACAACTTAATAGATGAGGTTGTTAGGAAAAAAAAGGAATAAATAAATGAACAAAATCAACAAAATTACACTATTTTTCGTTTTCGGTATTATCTTATCGAAATCACCAATTTCCATTTTAGAAAAGAAAAACGCGAAGAATAAGTAGTAGCAAGTGGTGATTTCATCGGTGGTTCATCATTTCTGTTTTCGATTTCTATTTGGATTGAAGATTTTGGGTTGAAATTCCGAAGTGAAGGAGGAGAATCCAAGAAATGGCGAAGGTGGAGGATGTTTTCGTTGGGTCAATCGATCAAGGAACCACCAGCACCAGATTTATCATTTACGATCGCTGTTCTCGACCGATCGGATCTCACCAGGTCGAATTCACTCAGTTCTACCCTGAAGCCGGGTGAGTCGGTGGATTCTCACTAATCCATCTACCTTCCTTCCATTTTTCTCTGTTATTACTTTCGAGAGTTTGATTTAATCTTTGTCTCCGTAGATGGGTGGAGCATGATCCTATGGAAATTCTGGAAAGCGTGAGGGTTTGTATGGCCAAAGCTGTCGATAAGGCTACCGCGGCGGGTTACAATGTGGACAATGGACTGAAGGCGATTGGGTTGACCAATCAGAGAGAAACAACTCTGGTTTGGAGCAAATCTACTGGCTCTCCCCTCCACAACGCAATCGTTTGGATGGACGCTCGTACCAGTGCTATTTGCAGGTATCCTGTGTTACTGGTTCCTGTAATTGCTTTGAAATTCTTTCAGACTGTCGGGGATTGATTCTTAATTCATTGCATTTTTTAGATTCTGTGTTCTTGGTTAATACTAGTTATAGCAACAGCGTTTGATTTATATGATTGAGTTTCGTTGTTCTGAGTGGGATTTTGTTTTTTTTTTTTCTTGAAATACATCTAAGGATTTGGGAGGTAGTATTTTAAATTCCTTTTGTTTTGCTATGGTAGAAAATTGGAGAACGAATTATCTGGTGGGAGAACTCATTTTGTGGGTACTTGTGGTCTGCCAATTAGTACCTATTTTAGTGCAATGAAGCTGCTTTGGCTGATGGAAAATGTGAAGGATGTTAATGAAAGTATAAAGAAGGGAGATGCTTTATTTGGAACTATAGATACTTGGTTGATATGGAACTTAACTGGTGGTGTCAATGGAGGATTACATGTGACCGATGTTTCTAATGCATCTCGAACGATGTTGATGAACCTCAAGACCCTTGAATGGGACAAACCTACATTAGAAACACTAGGAATTCCAGCACAAATCTTGCCTAAGATTGTTAGCAACTCTGAGGTCATAGGGAAAATTGTCCAGGGTTGGCCGATTACTGGCGTTCCGATTTCAGGATGTTTAGGCGACCAACATGCTGCGATGCTTGGTCAAGCTTGTAGGAAAGGTGAGGCTAAAAGCACATATGGGACAGGTGCTTTTATACTTCTCAACACAGGGGAAGAAGTTGTTCAGTCTAAGCATGGCCTTCTAACCACTTTGGCATTCAAGCTTGGCAAGGATGCTCGAGCAAATTATGCTCTTGAAGGCTCCATTGCCATTGCTGGGGCTGCAGTTCAATGGCTTAGAGATAGTCTTGGAATTATTAGCAGTGCGAAAGAGATCGAGGAATTGGCATCACAGGTTAAGTCCACTGGTGGGATATATTTTGTACCTGCCTTTAATGGGTTGTTTGCTCCATGGTGGCGTGATGATGCTCGCGGAGTCTGTATTGGGATCACAAGGTTTACCAGCAAGGCTCATATTGCTCGTGCCGTGCTTGAGAGTATGTGTTTTCAAGTGAAGGACGTGTTGGATTCAATGCACAAAGATGCTGGAGAGAAGGGCGAGGCAAAGAACGAGAAAGGGGAATTCTTGCTTCGAGTCGATGGTGGCGCTACTGTCAACAATCTTTTGATGCAAATTCAGGTTTCAGACTCCTATTCCACACTGTACACGCTTTGTCACTCTTAACAATTTGATATGGTTCTTCTTTAACCCTGCTGATGTGATCATTTCTGTAGGCTGACCTGTTGGGAAGTCCAGTGGTGCGACCGTCCGACATCGAGACAACTGCCCTCGGAGCAGCTTATGCAGCAGGACTAGCAGTTGGAGTTTGGACCGAAGATGAGATTTTTACTGCAGGAGAAAGGGTTGAGAGTGCTACCACCTTCCATCCTGTATTAGAAGAAGAGTTGAGGAAGAAGAAGGTGGAATCATGGTGCAAAGCTGTTTCAAGAACCTTTGACTTGGCTGATCTTTCTCTTTGATGGTTCTTCCTTCAACTTTATAATATATTTCCTTCTTTACTTCTCCTGTTCTTGTGCATTTGCTTCTTTACTATCTGTTCATGAATTACAATCTCCCACAATAAATTAAAATACAGTGGAATAACACGACGGTGGAACCAACTTTGATTACAATTGGATTCAAAAGGTCTCACTTGTGATTATTGTGCATTCTGATTGGTTTGAAGGCTTCAAGGTGATCGTGTATTTAAATCATTTTCACATATGATCACTCATTTATGTACTTTTTGCATCTCACTGTCATCTTTAGGATAGGAAAACAAGTGGATATTCAATTGGGTGTTATTTGATAGATTCAGGCAACAAAGCTTCTAGTTCTAATTATGTAATGGCGTAAGCCGACTGCCAGTAGATATTGTCTTATTTGGATTTTTTCCTTTCGGGCTTCCCTTCAAGGTTTTATTGTCCTCGGCTTTCCTTTTTGAGTTTTCCCTCAAGGTTTTTAAAATGCGTATACAAGAGAGAGATTTCCACACCCTTATAAAGAATATTTTGTTCTCCTCTCCAACTAATGTGGGATCTCATAATTCACTCTCTTTGGAATTGAGCATCCTTTTGGGACCAGTGTCTTTACTTGTACTCATTCCTTTCTCCAATCGCTTGTACTCGTTCTTTTCTTCAATCGTTCACCCCCTTTGGGGTCAGCATCTTTACTTGTACTCGTTCCTCTCTGCAATCGATGTGAGATCTCAGACTTAAATAATTCTAGTGAATTTTTTTTCCTTTTCTTTTCTCTCGTGAATGACAAAATAGGACTGATATTTCTCGTTTTTATTATTTTATGTATATTTTACAAATTTATTTGATATTTGGGATACAATGAAATATTCCATCCTCAACCATCCTGTATTTGAATAATGTTCGTGGTCTTCTTTTCATAATGGGTAATTGGTCAACTTTCAACTAGTTCAAACATATATTTTTTGTCAAAAAGGTTAAATCAACATATAATCTCGACTAAAAAATCAAATAATAAATTTTCTCGTCCTACTTTTTATCTTCACTTTCTCGTGCCCTAATATTTTTAAAATATCAGTATTACCTTTTTTATATTATTTGTAATTATAGTAACTTTTTTAAAGTTATATAAGACTGTAATTAGAATATAATTTAATAAGAAAAAAAAAAAGAATTGTGAGAGAGAATACAACAAAAGGAAATAAAAGGAAAGCAAATTTTAAAGGCCAAAAGAGAGAGAGAGAATGTGTAAAGTAAAGGAAATCTTCTTGCATTTTACACCATAACATGTTCTTCTAAGTGAACTCAACAACGATTAGTTTTCTCGAGTCACTATCTACTAAGACTTTTTGAACTTTTGTTTCCCCTCGTTATTTCTCAGGAGGACAATACATAAATTTCAAAACAATTTACGAAGGATCCGTTTCTAAATCAATAAGACTACAAGCACCATTTTTTCTTCTAGTACGATAAAAATAAGCTCGAAATATGAGTTATAACCCTCGAGAATCAAGAAAACGAGTACATGTCTTAGCTTATGAACTATGTTGATGATAAATGTTTTTTCTTAGTTCAACGATAAAGTAGAGTGTGGACGATTTGAACGTTTGACTTCTTTAATCGACGATCTTTGAATAATGGGAGTTAAAGCGAAGGGAATGAGAAACCAAATGGTTTTGGTTTAATGCTATTTGATTGAAGAAATTTCGTTGCAAGATCATATTCCCAATTCATCAAATATGACTTTTCTTCTCATAATAAATAACTTTCTTCTGCACCCAATAATCATATCCCATTCTTCTCCCCTTCCTTCACCATGGCCACCAACGCCACCAACGCCGTCGTCATCCAGACCACCACCACCATGTTCGTCCAAGCCGACCCATCAACATTCCTAGCAATCGTCCAGAAGCTGACCGGAGCACCCACCGACCCACCGGCGGCGTTTCGGCTGCAAGAACGGCGTAGTAGCAAGAAGCTGGAGGTGGAGCTGGAAGCCGGAGAAAGAGGGGTCGGAAGAGAAATGGTGTCGCCGGTGTCCACGTTGGATTTTCTGACCGGTGAAAGTCCGTGTGAAGAGGAAGAGAAAGCGATTGCGGAAAAACGGTTTTATTTGCACCCGAATCCGATTCGAACTCCCAGGGGATCCGACCCACCTCACCTTCTGCCATTGTTTCCTCTTTCTTCTTCTTCTTCTCCTTCTCCTTCTCCTTCTTCTTCCAATTGTATGAACAGAAACCATTATGTTTCTTCTTAACTTCTCTCTGCTATATTACATGGTGTTATTATTACCAGTGATTTCTTTTAGTATGTATCCATACACTTCTGGCACAATTATTGAAGAGCGGAACTAGGGAAGTTTGCTCTTGTCTAATGAATAAGAAGCACTGAGAGCTTCGATCTCTTTCCGTCGCATCAGAGTAAAAGATTCTCATAAAATTTTAAGTAACCATGTTAAAACTAGAGATTTTCGGTGAAATCTCAATCACTAGGCCTCGAAAAGGGTGGATTGTGTGAGATTACGCATCCATTGTAGAGGAAAACGAAACATTCCTTAAAAGTGTGTGAAAATCTCTCTCTAATAGACTTGTATTGAAAACCTTGAGAGAAAACTCGAAAGGAAAAACCTAATAGTGGGCTTGAGGTGTTACAAATATAGTATAAGACCAGACATCGGGCGATGTGTCAGCCAGGAGGCTGAGACCCAAATGAGGCAGACACAAGGTGGTGTGCCAACAAGGACGGTGGGTTTCAAAGGAGTAGATTGGAGGGTCCCACATCAATTGAAGAAGGGAACGCGCTAGGCCTTTAAGGATGGTGGATTGTGAGATCCCTCCTCGGGGAAGGAAAATAATGCATTCTTTATAAGAATGTAGAAATCTCTTTGACAATATTCACTAATGGTTGACTTAAGCTGTTATATTTACTAGTATAAATAAGGGATCAGTGGTTCCGTTACTGTGTTCGACCTCGACACGACTTCATTCTCGATACTAACTTAAGAAGCAAACGTGTTGAGCATAGAACCATATCGGTTTCTTTAGTGCTTCAAACCTGGTTGCAGTCGACCATGTTTCTTTGATTCTAATGGCCACAGGTGATGATCGGGCGGCGGCTCAGGAACCCATAATTGTACCATTGCAAGTACTAATACTCAGTACTTGCTTTGTCTGACAAACAATTCGAATTTAAGCACATTACTTTAAAGCTTCCACCTTTAGTCCGCTGGCCCTTCTTCTCCAGCTTACTATATTTGGGCTACCCCATGGGTTCCAGCCTTCAACGGCTGTGTTTGAATCGTCGGATCATATGATCAAATGGTTGTTTGGGATTCAAGGAATTTGGAACTATAACAGTTCAAGTCATCGCTAGCGGATGTTGTTCTCTTTAGGTTTTCTCTTATTGGGTTCTCCTCAAAGTTTCTAAAACACGTTTACTAGAGAGAAATTTCTACACTCTTAGCTTTGTTCCCCTCTTCAATCCACTCCTTGAATGTTTAGTTCCCCCCAATACGTCTACTAGAGAGAGGTTTCTATACCCTTATAAGAAATGTTTCATTCCCCTCTCCAACCCACACCTGTATAAGAAATGTTTCGTTCCCCTCTCCAACTCATTTACGTCTACTAGAGAGGTTTCTACACCTCATTCCCCTCTCCAACCCATATAAGAAATGTTTCGTTCCCCTCTCCAACCCATTTACGTCTACTAGAGAGGTTTCTACACCCTTATAAGAAATGTTTATGTTTTGTTCCTCTTTCCAACCACACCCTTACAAGGGTTCTCTCTCCAAACCATTTAAGTCTACTAGGGAGAGAGGTTTCTACCCTCTTATAAGAAATATTTTGTTCCTTTTTCCAACTCACACCCTTCCAAGAAATGTTTCGTTTCCATCTCCATCTCACACGGTTATAAGGAATCCTTCGTTTCCCTCTCTAACCGATGTGGGATCTCACAATTCACTCGTCTTGAGACCAACGTCCTTACCGGCACACCACTCAGTGCCTAGCTCTAATACTATTTATAGAGTCACCATTTATAACAGCTCAAGCTCACCGCTACTAGATATTATCCTTTTTAGACTTTCCTTTCCAAGCTTTCTCTCAAGGTTTTTAAAACGTGTCGACTAAAGAGAGGTTTCCATACATATAAGAAATGTTTCATTCCACTCTCCAACCAACCAGTGATCTAAAACACGATTCGAGGGAGAGAGTTTGAACTTATAAAATTTACCCTTTTATTGATCTAAGAAAATTCAATGATGATGAACATAAACGGCAAGAAGAAAAGCACTTTTGCAAAGATTATTAGCACGCTTACAAGCGGGGCTGCAACTAGCAAATCAGCAGAATTAAAGGGATTCACTGTGTTTTTCCCCTCACAAAACTGCATCCTTTTTCTTTTCCACATTTTAACTCAGAATGTGAACCCACACACAGCCATTTGGATCACTTTCTTTCTTTCTGCCTAACAATCTCAACGAACTGAAGCACAGATTGAATGCTGGTTGTACAGACCAGCCACCCCATTTGAGAACTGCTGTCTGTTTCTCCTGCTCTTCACCACTATAAATCCTTCCCCATCCCCGGCTTTACCGTTATTTACATCGCTGCCCTTTTCGTTTCGGTTATCACCCCCCTGCTGCAACTCTCCTTCATTCCCATATAGAATTTTTATTATGGCACTGTCATTAGCTATTGCATCCGTTGAGTTTTCTGAAGCTTTGAGCTTTTCATTAGCTGCTGGCTCATCAACACTTGTATCCATGGTGTTCTGAACTGACTTCACAATGAAGCTCAACAATATCTGCCTTGCAAGTTCAGACTTCTCGCACTCCGAGATGCTTTTCTTTGTGTTACTTTTGATTGTAGAGGACGATCTTTCGGCCGGTTTCTCGTCTTCATCCATACTTGTTTTCGGCGAAGAATTCAATTCGGTATGGACATTTCTACTTGAATCTCCATGGTTTGTTTGCCATGCTCTTTGAGGGACGAATTCAGGGGCGTGTGGATTCATCATTGTTGCAGCTCCAAATCCACTTCTTCCCATGACAGGAGCTTGGTATTTCATAAAACCACGTTTCATCCGAAAAGAGCTGTTGGTCCGATAATATAGAGGCGATCGAGGTCCACAAGGGACTCTAGTAGTTGCTGGAGGAAGCATAGGCTCTAGAGCACCTTGGCTTGCTCTTACATCATATATGCTAGTGGCTGCAGCCGAGTTTAAACCAGTAGTCATAGACGTACCAGGATTGAACGGTTCTGCTGCAGCGGAAAGCTTGCTAGCATTTGTTTCTGCAGGCTTTTCCAAAGGAGATGAACAGGATATCATCTCTTCGCTATCTTCGCTTTGATTTTCGGACTCCGGGGCAGGATTATGAATCGGTTCTGCTACTTCCTTTTGAATCACTTCATCAGAAACATTGTTGGTTCCATCATTTTTTGACATTTCTGAATGATCAAGGTTCTGGGGTTCAGCTACTTTCTCCTCTGATTCATTAACATTTTCTGTATCAACCAATTGCCTTAGAACAGTACCAGGAGGGGCCAAAGCTACTTCTTTGTAAGATATGGATCTTGAAGCCATTTGAGAAACCGAAGCAGGAGACGGTGAGATGACCTTGGAAGCTGTTGTCTTCGACTGCAGCTTGATCGAATCATCGCCTGCACTTAATCTTTGAGGGATTGATTGCTTTAACTGTGAAAATCCACTTTGAATGGTCTTAGCAGCTGCTGGTCTCTGCACTGGAGAGAGAGTTTCCTGCTTGTAAGTACTCTTAGAATATTCAGACTGGTGCACATTTAGCTTTGGAAGAACCGGTCGTCTCCGGCCAACCTTCCGGCCGACGACATGCCCTGACCGCCCTTTTGAATGAGCCTCTTGCCACCCATCATCTGAATAAGTTTCTTCCACGGTTTCACTTTTAACCACTGTCTTATTCTCAGTGATGTTTTCAACTACTTCCTTTTGTTCTACACGTAAAAGTTTGCTGATTTTAACTTCCTTTACACTATCATCTGATGACTCAGTCACTGGTTTTGGGCTTTCAATGTTCGACTCATCCTCAGCCATTTCATTTTGATGCCCCTGATGAGTTTTATCACTTGTATTCACTACCTGACAAAATTAAAGCATCATGAGACCCAAGAAGAAACATGTAACAGACCCCGCTCAAGCCCACCGCTAGTAGATATTGTTCTATTTGGGGTTTTCCCTTTCCCCTCAAGGCTTTTAAAATGCATATGCTAGGGAGAGATTTTCATACCCTCATAAAGAATGTTTTGTAACCGAGGTGGGATCTCACAAAACAACATTCTAAACTGATAGATGAAACATGCTTACCTTAGCACGTCGATGTTTCCTCTGTGTATCATTTCCTTTCGGATCTTGATCGGGACTTATGTAATCCAGGAGATCTGATACACTGCAACAAAAAGTCAAAAGCTTTGATGCGAAGAAATTCAATAGATATTTTGGAAGAAAGTAATATGGGAATACCATGTCAATACCTAAGGTGGCCTTTGCTCGAAATTAGTGCATCGGGTTTCGGAGTTCCATTACGTGCTACTTCTTGCTGCTCCAGAGCTTTCGACTCAAAGTATTCCAGCCACGCAGCCGCATCCTGTCCAAGACCAGATCATGTTCATTCAAATTTGAAGGCAAACAGTCTCTTTCTCTCACAAATATGATTAAGTTACATTGCATAGAGTGAACTGTCCAACCTGAGTGCGAATATCTTCTTCTCCAAGTTTGACTTTGAGTATATTGAGTGTGGTTTGTTCATGTTGCACGCTCAGCGAATACGCTTCCATTAAGGAAAGAGCAATGGCAATGGCATGGTAGCTTGCAGCAGTCTATAAAGTGAAAATGACCATTCATGAGAAAAATCATTAACATTGGCCTGGCTGAATGTAACAGCCCAAGTCCACCTAACAGATATTGTTTTTTGAACTTTCCCTTTCGGTTGTCCTTCAAGGTTTTTAAAACGCGTTTTCTAGGGAGAAGTTTTCACACCCTTATAAAGGATTCTTTGTTCTTCTCCCCAACCGATGTAGGATCTCAAACTGAATGAATGGTCGAAACAAGAATGAGAGAGAGGTACCTGTATGTGATCAGCTCCAAGTAGCCTCTGGTTGCACTTAAGAGCTTCATGCAAATATCTAAGAGCAACATGAACATTTCCCACACCTTCTTCCATCATTGCAACATTAATGTATGTTGCAGCAGTGTTGGGGTGAGACAATCCACACGTGAAATGGAGAAGGAACAACGCCCGGTTTACATACCTAAAGAACCAAGTACAAGAACGTGTTTATTTAACCCCTAAACTTTTGCACTACTTTATTAACGGAACCAAATGCCAAAACAGATTTGGTGTTCATATATAATAACATGCTTTGGAAGAACTTACTTAAGAGCTAATTCGATGTGTTGAAGGCGATAGTAGAAAACGGAAAGGTCTCCATAGCTCTTCATCGTGTCGGGATGATCGAGCCCGAGCTCTCTTTCATTGATATCCAAAGCCTTTTGTTGATATATTGTTGCCTATAAAAACAAAAGAAAGCCAACCAACATTTCTTATATAACATACCCAAATTCTTGAGCTGAATGAATTTATTGGATTGAATAATTACCTGATTAAAGTCGCCTGTGTGGTAGAGGACTACGGCTAGAAGACTATAAGCACTTGCAGTGCTTCGATGGTACGGACCGCATACGGCTATCATTTTAGTCAATGCCTTCACCAAACATAAGCTTAGTCAATACATAGCAATGGACGGTGACAAATTCCCAAATAATATAAATAATTTTAATGATATATCTTTTCAGATGAAATAAAATGGTAACGATATTAATCTTTAATATAGTAATAAATAATACTATATAGCTAAAGTTCTATTCTTATTTAAATAAAAATATATTTTCTAGAATAATTCAAAATTAAAAGAGTATTTTTTAGAAGAAATTTTAAAATTTAAGGGTAAAAACTTTTAAAGATATTATAAATTTTAAATAATTAATGTGGGTAAAAAAAACTTTTTTTGAGGAAGCATGAGTAATGAGATCCCAGTCCATTGAGAAGGAAACGAAGCATTTTTTTTTACGGGTATGGAAACATTTCCCTAGCAAACGCGTTTTAAAAACTTCGAGGGAAAGACAATGAAGACAATATCTACTAGCGTTGGACTTAGACCGTCACAAATGGTATTAGAGCCTCACACCGGGCGTTGTGCCAGTAAGGAGGCTAAGCTCCGAAGGGGGTGAACACGAGGTGGTGTGCCAACAAGGACATTTGACCCCAAAGGGCAAAGGGGATGGATTTGGGGGTCTCGCATCGATTAGAGAAGTGAACGAATGTCAATAAGGATACTGAGCCCTGAAGGAGGTGGATTGTGAGATCCCACGTCGATTGGGAAGAAAAAACAAATAATCCTTCGTAACGGCGTGGAAATCTCTACCTAAAAGACGCGTTTTAAAAACATTGAGGATAAGACCGAAAGGAAAAACTCAAAGAAAACAAAATCGGTTAGTGGTGTGTGCTTAGACCTTTACAATGAGTAAAATTTTTTTAGATATATTATCAAATATTTCCTATTAATAATTAATTTCATAAACTTTAAATTTTAGTGAATAAATTAAATTTAAAAAGTCAAATAATTTGAAAATAAATATAATCTAAAAGAAATGATATATTAATGAGGTGCAGCGTAGGTAGTTTTTATTTATCATTTATTTTTCTAAATAAAAGTATTGTTTTTAAAGATTTAAAAGTAATAATTTTATTTGAGAAAATAAATAATAAATAATAAATTAAGAAGAAGAAAAAGAAAATACCTTGGTTCCATAATTGACAGCGTCATCGAGTTTGCCTTTATCAAGAGCAACTTTCGACGATTCCAACAGATTCCGCCCATCCGCCGAAGCGCATCCCACATGCTATGCACAGAATCAACAACAAACAAACACAAATTCAGTCACGGATTCATAATCAAAATCACACGATTCCAAGACGCAAATCCAGAGATTCAAGATTCTGACCTTACAAACAGGAACCAAGCTAATCACGTCACTTCTCTTGAACGGATTAGGGCACTCCAAATCGAAATCTCTCGGCGCCAATTCCAGCCCTACCTTATGGCAGATGCCTCGAAGAATCGACAGCTTTCTCAAGTGCTGGAACTCGTTGCTCAACCTCCACTTGAATCTCTTGCCTAAGAATGTGCGTAGCCATTGCAGTCTCAGAGATCCGTCTTCGTGGAGGTTGTTCTCCTCGTCTTCTGATCCGTAGCTTCCGAGAAGGAAGTTCAGAGAGGAGGCCACGGCCGCGGATAGATCTGCGGTGCTCTCCACGGCGGCAATGACGGCGTTGATTACATGCTTGAAGGCTCGAATTACCATCTCGTGGATGCATAGCGCTTGTATGTGTGGAAGCTTCTCTGCTAACTCCACCTAATTCCGTAATTAACAACATTGGTTACCTCAAAATAATAATAATAATAATAATAATAAATAACATAAATATAATTAAATTTTAATTTTAATTTCGAGGGTAATTTTTAAAAAATTATAGAACATACATAAAAAAAATTAAAATTTAATTTGACAAAAAAAGTATATCTAATTAATTTTAAAATTTTAACTATTAATATTTTTTAAATTAAAAAAAAAAACACTTAATTTTTTTATAAAAAAATATTATATTATTTTCTATTACCATTTACCTTCGTAAATATTTCAAAACTAAACCTACAACAAAGATTTGTCAAATTATTCCGATCTTGTCACATTCATAATGTCAGATTTTTTTCGGTCTTGTTCAGTGACATTTTTATAGAATTTAAAGGGTCGTTTTTGTTTGCAACTTTTGAAATAATAAAAGTATGTTATGACAACCGTTCGAGAGCCAACCAACAACGAAAATTTTCTCACCACTCGACCCAAGGAGCACATTCGAAGGCCTCTCAAATGCATGAAATCGGTTAACGTACGGCCATCGACCGGTGAAAGTTCAAGCGACCCGAAATCCGTCACCTAAATAATATATCATATAGAACCATACGTTATAAGAACAATGCATAAACTTTGCAAGACATAAAAAGAAACAGCCAGCAGCAACTCATACCAGCTTTGGCAATGCTGTTTCATCATAGTACTTGTGAGCCATCGCCATGAGCTCCTCAGCCGTCTGTCCATTTCAAAGAACACTCAGAAACACACTATTATTTCACTAATCACCAAAGAATCAAAGAGTTTCTACCAAACCTTTAGATGAAGACCAGTTCCACTTTCTTTAAGGCGTGATAAAGCTTGTTTGGAGATCAGTTTCTTGAGTTTTTCCTCGCCGTTGGTTTCGGTTTTCGTGTTCGGGTCATCGAGCATACAACGGTTCTCTTTCTCGGTATCGACCGCGCTCGGCTTCTTTTCCCTCTTCTTCAAAAGCTTGAACTGCTTTCCTAGGCCTTTGACTGCTGGTTCATTTTCAGGGGCTTTGGATTTGGAATCTGGTTCATTGTCCTGCTTTTGTAGATGCTGCAGCCAACATGAACCCAGCTCCCATCTAATTGGCTTCTCTGAACCTATTGGCTCCTCCTTTAGCTTTGACAAGCTCTCTTTGATCACTTTCCGAACCAAAACTCGAGACGGTTCGAGATCGTCTGAGCTTTCTTCCGTTGCATTGGCAGCCATGATCTTGGGAAGCTGAATCCTTAGACTGTATAGAGATTTTAGTAGATTAAGCAGCCATGACTTAAGAATCAATATTGATTATGATTAGCAAGGTAAATTAAGACCTGTTTATGTTAAGTGCATTGGCTCCTCCATCTCGTTGGTCATCGATCACAATATCTTGATTCTCGTCGCGTCCCGTCTTTACTTTACCGACGACCTTTACTGTTGCGGTGTACCCGCAATGTCTAACGATGACACGGCTCAAGGAGGCAGTATCCTACAAACGTTCACTCAAAATGTTTCAGTTTATGCAGGCCACAATGACTTGATCATATCAGCTTCTAATCTTACCTGAACAACTACATTTTCATCAGCAGTCAACCCCTTTAGTAAGTTTCTTTGTGCAACTTCTTCATCAGACACACCATCTAATCCATGTCCGTTGAGTTTCGTCGCAGTTGCATCGATCGAATCACGTCTTATCACAGTAGACAAGTCTCCGATTCGATCCTCATAGACAATGTCACGTGAGTTTACTGTAACCTGTCCTTTTGAGTTCGAATCTATAAGACTAGAAATCGCTGAAACAGCTCTTTGTATTGCAATGTCAACAAATTGGCTGTGAAGTAGAAACGCTTTCCGATCTCGAACGATCCTCTCCTCCTCAGTTTTGCAAGGAAGCTTAGCCAGAACCGCAAAGTCGGTCGCCCACGACCGTTGATTATGTTCATTGTTTCGTCCTTGGCCACCGCCGTTGCCACCCCAATTCTCATCTTCTACTGGTAATTGCAGCAAGTTTGATGGAGTCTCAATGATAGATGGAGGAACAAGCCAGGTATTCATCCGAAACCCATATGGAAGATTACCAAACTAAACACAAAAAACTGATAAGAATACATCCTATGAACATTTTAAACAAAATGATAACTTTTGAAAAGATATTACTCACCTTGTTATGTTCAAGAAACGCCTTCATCAAAGATTCATACGCCTGCATTTTGAATCAAACCGTGAAACCGTGTAATCAAATCGAAACCGAATCGAACCGAAGAGGGCTAAGTTCAAAGGACTCACATTGGCAAAAGCTCTGCTGAGTTGCTGCAGAAGGTCCACAAGAGAATGGCTTTGTACAAACTGCTTTCCTGCAGTATAAAATCCCTTTGCTGAGGCAGTCACTTGTATTAGTTTCCCATTGCATATTTTAATCTGCAAAAGGAAAGTTCAGTCATCAGCAAAAGCATCTTCTTGACAAATCTAAACGAATGATTCAACAAGAACAGCACCTGCATTCCGAAGTAATCGCCGTTGCGCTCGTCATCTGCTGCGCCTTTCGGGTTGCATCTCCTGATTTCTGAGAAACCAACAAGACATAAACTTTGTGCCAATGGAAAAGCTATCACATCTCAAATCCAAGAAACTTTTGTCATGTTTCTCACTCACGTAGAATAGGAGGGGAGATGTGAGCCAGGGAAAAGAACTCGAAGAAGTCAGAGAGCTTCGGCGTCGGATGAATGGCAGCCATTCCGAGGTTGTCGGAAACAACCGAGACAGATGGTTCCAGCTGAGAAGACGGCGACCCACATCGAAGTTCCAATGCCCCATCTACTGGAGAAGAAGAAGAAGAAGAATTCACATTGCCATGATTATGGACTCTGCTATTCTTTTTGGCCCGAGACTCTGGCGTCGAGGCACGCCTCGGTTTGCAGAACCTGGTGGTGCAGGCCACAATGTCCAGCAGCCTCCGAACATGCACCACAGCTTGAGCTTCATCGGTGTAGTCCTCTGTAACAACACATAGATACAAATTCAGATTATCCACAACAGATTGAAAAAATTCCAACATTCTTTAGAACCCAATTCTCTGCAGTGTTCTTGTTCTTGTTTTCTGTAATCTCAGCCTCCATTTCGTTGAACACTTCCCATGAACCATTGGGAAACTAGAACGAAATAACATGAATCCTAAGCAAATTCTCTTAGAAACAGAGCAAAAAACTCCACAATCTATACATATTATACTGCAAATTATTAGAGAAAATCCCATCGTTTCTTCTTTGTTTCTACATCCGGCAATTACTTTAAAAGGCAGTGCTGACCCATTTGTGTTAGAAAAAGACAGAAACCTTTTTCAACAAAGAATCAAGTAAAAGATTCCAAATACTCTTTTCATAATTACTAAATTCAAACCGATTCTCCTAAACAAAACGTAAGTTCTTTCACATCAAAGCCACTTTCATCGATGAACAAAAAGCGCAAAAGGGTCACAATCTTGATCTAATTCAATCCAAGAGACAGAACAACAGAGATTAAAATGGTGGCTGATGAACGATGATGAAGAATGGTGCAAGTTTAGCACTACCACTATACCCACCTTCAACAAGTTTTAACAAACAGGGTTTAAGATTAGCAATCTCCACTTTGTCACTCAACCTCTGCCCCTTTATCTGCAAAGGAAGAAGAAGAAAAGGATGATCAAAAGCCATAGATGGTAAGAAAAAGGAGGACATGCACATTATCCAATAAAGAACAAAGAATTAGTATTATAAGGAAAGTGAAAACCTCATGGGATAAAGAATAATTTGTTAGGTGACATGTCTCTACATTCTGAGCCAACAATCTTCTCACATCCAGAATCTTATCGGTACTGATACCCTGTAAGAACAAATTAAAAAATTAAACAAACCCCACAAAAAGTCAGAACTCTCTTAAAACAAACAAGAACAAGAACAAGAAGAACAACAACGCCACAGACCTTGAGGATAACTTGGGATTCATAAGGAGTAAGAACAGCAACATCAACAACACTAGGAATCACTACACATAAGAATCAAAACGAAGCGATTAGAAAACCCCAGATTAGAATGGATTAGGAATCTATATATATATATATAATGAGAACCCCAACCTTTCTCCTCCTTCTTCTTCTTCTCAGATTTTGCTTTGTTGGGTTTTCCTCTGCTAGACCTTGGAGCCATGTCCTGGACTCCTGAGTTGAGTATCAGACGCCAAAAAACAGAGGGAATTTCAAGTGTTTGAAGAGAATTGTTGGTGACCCAGATGAGCAAAAATCATGAGTAGTGAATTCAGCAGAGATTGAGGGAAAGGGGGAAGGGGTTTTGAGGGAAAATGAGAAGCAAATGGTAAGTGGGTAATGGGAGAAACGAAGAAAAAGAGTATAAAATGGAGGTTTGAGTGAGTAAGTGAAGGGAAAAAGCGATTGAAAATCAGGAAAATAAGAAGAAGATAGGATAAGGGGTAGGGGTTTTTGGGTTTCACTCTCTTATCTTTAGGATTTTAAGAGCAATGCTGGCCTCTCCTTGCTCATGGCCTGATTTCACTCAATTTTTTCTCTCTCTCTCTGCGTGTGTGATGCGCATGTGATGGAGGGAGGTTTTTGAAGGGCTGGAGAGAAGAGACACACAGAAAAACAAAATTTGTTGAGAGAGAAGATGAAGAGAACCGTTGAGTACGTGACACGTGGCGGCAAGAAATGTCAGCCGTTCATTTTTTGTTGTATAGGATGTTTTGTATCATCTAGATATTCTCACCAATTAGGCGGAAGGAATTATGGACCGTTCATAAAAATATTTCTCCCAATTTTGGGATTAATAACAAACAAAATTCATTCTCTTTCTCCAATGTCCTTTTTTTTTTCTCTTAATTATGTGTTTTTTATTTTTATTATTAATTATTTTTCCATTACTTAATAAGCACATTTTTTATTTAACCTAATAACCCCATTTCTTTATTATTACCTATCTTCTCCAATTTTGACTCTATACAATCTTCACGTCGTTCGTTGATTCTAAATCTATGTTGTTTCCTGCACGTTATAAAATGGATCAAAGTGAAATGAAGTAATAATCCTTTATATGCACGGAAATGTAATAGTGTTCATATGACTTAATAAATATATCATTGGACTATCTAACTCAAATCATAAAACGTTAGGTTAGATTTGGGTGAATTTTTTTTAAGTAAAATTTTGGGTTAGCTCGTGGGTTAACATTTTTTCTACTGGGTCAACCCAGTCAACCGACCCAACCATACTTACTCGTGAATGTTTGATATTTGAATCTTATGATATTTCAGTTATTAACCTAACATCAATCGTGATAAGTATAATTTAAAAAAAAATAAAAGAATTTAAAAATCTAACTTCAAGATTTGATCGTAAACTTTATTCGAGTTTCTCGGTAACCAACTCAAAATTTCAAGTCAGTCTAAAATATTGCTCTAACATAGTTAATTGCAAGTAAGTTTTTACGTTCAAGTAAAATAATAATTTTATTATTTTTTTACATAAATTCCCAAAATTTCCATTAAATTGGGTTATTTCGTGTATTCTTATACTTCATATATTTTTGTAGCATTTTTCGTATTTTCTATATGTAACAACAAAGCCCGATGACTCGTTATTTATCACATTTACTATTATGAATCTAATTATATGGTAAATTGAGGAAATGGGTTTCAAATTAATATAATCTCATTTGGAAAAACAAACCTTAATTGCTTGCTTTGTTCGTAACTAAAAATAAACAAAAAAACACCTTAATTACTATTTCAAAAGTTTAATTTCTAATATCGGAGCGATCAATCAATTTACAATCATAAAAATTAAAAAAATGCAACAATTCTATTAATTTCATAAATATACGTTAATATATGTCAAAAGAATTTAAATTTAAATAAATAAACAACTCTATTGTAATAATTTAGTCAATATCTAATATTTATTATTATTATTATTATTATTATTATTATTATTATTATTATTTTGGGTCTAATAAGTACTTAAAAAAATGATTAACAACATGATGACGACATAAAGGCCGTTTTTTTGGCTTCAGCCTGGTGGCGCTTACCTAATAATATTTCGTCATTTTTTTAATTTTTTTTTTATAAAATAGATTAAATTAAATAAATACATAAAAAAATAAATGTTTACATTTATTATTATTGTTACTATTTGTAAAATGGCTTGAATTAAATAAAATAAAATAAGTAAATCAATGACAAATTACTTAATTCAATTTCTTATTATTTTTTATTTTTATTCTTTTGTTATGTATTTTTTAAATACTTTTAATAACATAAAAAGTAAAATAAAATAAAACAAACTACCAAAACAAGCTTCATTTTTAAATCATAAAACTATATTTTAAAAAACGATATTAATATTTTATAATTCTTCGATAATATCTCTTACCTTTTATTTATTTATCATAAAAAATAGAATGTACTATAACACTAGAGTTTTTGTGACCTCTTTCTCGATACGAATAGAAACCCGTCACACAATCTTGACAGTCATTAAGTCGGTATGCTCCTTTTTCCACGTTACTTGAGAAGACTACCCAACCGATAGTTTGATCTTACCCACTCCACATTCAATAATACTTTAACTCAAACGTCCTTACACGACATTTATTATGCATAATAATTTAAATCGTTAGGAATGAGCTAAACCTATAAGCACTTTATTTATTTATAGAAAATCAATTATGCTCGTAGCTCACTTACACGAGCATGAATGCATGGGCGATTGTGTAGGGGCAAGAAGGGCACGTGCCCCCTTTAAATTAATATATTTGCGTTTAATATATCTTTAAATTTTTGAAAATGCTTTTGTATTTACGATGTGTAAAATTTTTAAATATGGAAGATTATAAAATTAAAAAACATATTATTTAAAATTATGAAAATTTAAATATCATATTAAAAATTATTTATATTTTTTAGGTAAATGCTATGACCCTACTCTTTAAAGATATGGAAATAAATGCCATAAAATTCACGTTTTTATTTTGGCAGCTACCAAAGAAAGTAGGGATTTTAGGAATTAATATTTACCAATCAATTAATAACGAATTAATTGAGTAAAAATATATATAGAAATTATGAGTCGGTAGGACTAAATGCACTTAATTTATTGAACCAATTGATTTTTTATTTTAAATAATTTTTCCATTCATATGATAATAAAGTTAATTTTTTAAAAAATTAATTAAATATGTAGTTTGAATATTCCCATTTTTAATAAATATTATAAAATTAACATACTTTCAATTATACCCTTCAAAAATTGAGAATTTTCAACCCTACCCTCAATGTTTGAATGTTGTTGAAAATACCCTTTTAGGGAATTTCATTAGAACGTGTAAGGGGCTTAAAGGATTAAAACCAAATAAATAATACAAACAACCTCTAATTGGTTTTATTTATTTTTAACCCTAAGTTAAGAGTGTATGAACAGCCACACGCTCCTAATGCGTTGAATTTTTAGAACAAAACAAAAGATTTAATTGAGCAGGACAGGGGGAAAGTACTTGACAAAGCTTTATAAACGTAATTAAATGTGGTTATGTAATTCGCGACCGAAATGGTAATTACAGAACAATTTTTAACTTTTTGTTCGAGATTATATGTCTTGATTGAATTTCCGTTTTCAACTTTTTGTTTAAGATCATATACATCAATTAGTTGAATCGTATTTAGGCAGTATCAGTTCTTTAATATAGGCTTGTATGTGAGATTAGATAAACGATATATTCGTTATAAGGATGTGAAAACCTGTCTGTAATAGACACGTTTTAAAACTGTAAAGCTGATATGTAACGAATCAAAGCGGACAATTATGCTAGCAATGGACTTAAACTGTTACACAATCATGATGGTAGTTTGTAATTGTATCCATTAAACTATGCTCGAATTGATTCTAAAGTAATTTAGACACAAAAAGGTCATTGTTGACGATATTAGTCACATTTTCTCTCCTAATAAAATCGTGTCAAACGTTTGTCCTTTGCTTGCAACAAGTAGAGGTATTTAAAATGTTACTAATTAAAGATTACTTTTAAAATTTAAAATATATATTCTCAACCATGAAATTAAAATTTGTATTAATTTACTTCTCAACTTCGGATATTGTCTATTTGTTCCCAATTTTTCAATTTTGGTTTCATATTCTTTAAAGAAACTATATTTTTAGTTAAAAAAAATATATTTTTTCTTTTAATTTTCAAATTTTGGTTTGGTGTTAAAAAAAAAAAACATAAGTAGAAAGTAGATAACCTTAATCAAAACGAAAATAATATCTATAAACTAGGGCATCCACTAAATGATGACTCCAACTTTTGTCTTAGTTAATTGACTGTTTTTTTTTTTACGAAAATCTCAAAAAAGAGGAAGAATGAGACCGACCTCTAAGCCCAAGCAAAAAAAGAGTTAGAATGAACGATGAGAATCGACCTAACGAGATCAGATAATTATCCAAAGGAATCTAAATAATTCACTAATCGAAACGAAATTAGAATATCCAAAAATGAATACGCTAGATGTATGAGATGTATGAGAAAATGAAGGATGGTTGTAGCTAGCTGTATGATAGTGTGGAGATTAGTTTAAGAGAGATATAAGGAATTAAAGAAGTTAATTAAGGCACCTAAGATTCCTCGAAATGGACGCCCTACAATGTAGATTTTTCCTCCAAACATCCCCCTAGTTTCCTAGGTATACCAGGAAGAAATATTCATAAAGTAATTCATTCATGCAGGCTTGGTTGATGAAGCATTAATGCAAACAAATACAAAATAACTAAGTTTATGAACAATAAAATTACCAGGAAGTTTCAGAAAAACGACCGCAAAGCCTCGATGACCTTCTCGGGCCTGTTCATGATGATAATCAAAGACTTAGAACAGTATAGAGAAAGTTGGATGCAAATGAAGTGGAGGAAGTTTACCAGTCCTCTTGGGGCATGTGGCCAGCTCCATCAATAAGCTTGAGACGGATTGTTGATGAGTTCTGGTTTTGGAACTCTTCTGCAATGGACTGAGGTAGATACTTGTCTGAAATGCCCCATAGAACAAGACCTGGTTTGTCCCATCTGTGAGTCACAGGAATTTTTGTTAATTATTTACGATGAGATTTTGTCATGGGAGCTTAGTTTCTTGTCCTGACATTACAGCAGACAAGAAGTCACCCGCGTCTATGAACCAGTTTATTACAGCCTGACATTCATGCATTTCTGGAGATGGTTTTTTTTTTTAAATGCACTGTTCAGAGAATAAATGAAGCAACAGAACAACTTCAGAGAAACACATAATAACATCGAAAAATAGCTAAAACAAGGAGGTGACAAGAGAAAAACTGACCTTCCAGAAGCAAAGCCAGCACTTATCCGACTTAGAATATCATTGAAATTAGCTTTTCTTGCTGCTTCAAGTAAAGCTGAAAGGACAAGGGAAATTAGAAAAACTGACTTTCCGTGGGAGATCGATTACTTTAATCATTTCTCATGGGCGAGGGAATTGATCTCTGTCATAAGAAACTAATTTTAGCTGGTTTTATTTGATAAGAGAGCATCTTTATGTAACGAGGGTTGTGAGATCCCTCATCGATTGGAAAGAGAAACGAGTGCCAGCGAGGATGCTAGATATCACGGTCATGCTCGTCTAAGGTGTGTTGCCTATGGCCGCATGCCCATAACAAAGTCAAACCCTTTATGTCTTTCCATGTTCTAGTGTTAAACTTTTGTATTTATAGGAAGTATGACGTTTCGGAAAAATCATGTCTAAGCCTGCCATACATGAAATGCCTTAGAATGTACTATAGGGGATATGACTAGTTGTCAATTTCTCCCTACCAAAAGTTATATACTATGAGCCGTTGTTACTCTTTTGGAAAGTGAGTGCCGCACAATCGCAAGTCCGCTACCATCAAGAGTGCGATTGTGACACTGGGCACCGAAGAGGGTGGATTGTGAGATCCCACGTCGGTAGCAAATGGTGTTAAAAATCTTGAGGGAATGTTCGAAAGGAAAAGCTCGAAGACAATATCTACTGGCAGTGAGCTTGAGCCGTTACGCTTAATAAGAGTAATGTAGATTTTGGTACGTACCAAAACCAGGTCCTCCACTGGACAAGTATGGAAGTCTATAAACATCAGCCTTTTCCAGCTTTAATACGTATCTGCAAGCAGAGAAGTTAATGTGTCAACATTTCTAAAATGACTTTTTAAGTGTAAAAAAAGTGTATTAATCAAAACAGACTCTAAATATACATTTTGATAGTTTATCTAATAAAAGTTTATTAAGTTTTTAACATAATCCAGTTTTTTTTTTTTGGGGGTGAATTTATGATGATTATAACGACTCTGTAGTTAGAATTATATCACAGGAAGACAGTGAGTAATAACATAAGAACAATCCAGTGTCAAGATGCTCTTAGATACATACGCGCTGCCTGCTTCAATAAAACGTTCTGCCATAACTGCATTCTGGCATGTAAATTCACCAAACAGAGGGATCCTATACGCATAGTAAACAAACTGAAACATGTCATTAACAAGAACTTGAAAAGAAAAAAAAAGAAGTTATTTCCAAGATCAGAAGTGAAACAATAGATTGATTCTTATTAAAAATTAAGAAAATTACACAATTACTAAAAAGTTGACAGATGCGTCATTAGCAAATCAGAGCTAAAAGGGAACCAAAAAATTCAGAAGGCTCAATTAGTTTTTTCATCCTATCCCTAAATGAAGATTCTAAAACTCATGGTCAAAACTTAGTTAGAATCATCATATTGAACCTTAGCTGTTGAAATAACCCAGGAACAGGAGAAGAAACCGTTAATGGACTGTTTAGAATGGATATCTTTGATATCCTGCTCTGATTTTTCAAGGCCCATGTCAATCCATATGATCCCACCAGAAAACCCTTCAAGAAAATTGGATCAAGTTTAATTCAATGCAGTAGGATACGAATGGATGTACACTTCATGACACAATCATGTCAGCTTGGCTATATATCTAACATTCTATGAAACAATCTTTCCTGAAAAGTTCGGATCCAACCTGAATCACTAAGTTAAAGGGAGAGTCGACGCCGAGCACATCAAGTAGTTTATCCAGTTCCTCATGGTACTCTTTCTCTGTGCCAATGCAAATATCACATATGCTACAAAATAATATAATCAAACAACTACTAATTATTATAAAACGAGTGATTACAAGTTGCAAAACCTGTATAATTAAAGCCATATCCTGGTTGCGGTTTGTCACTGAAACCGAATCCTATCCAATCAGGAGCAAAGCAGTGGAATCCAAGAGCAGACAACTAGTCAATACAACAGAAAAAGTGAAACAAAAAAAAAGGTGAAGTTTCACCCAGAAAAAACAGTGCTAAGATATAATTTAAACGAAATATCCGGATAAAGAGTTGAGATCTCACGTCGATTGGGGAGTAGAACGAAATATTCTTTATAAGGGTGTGGAAACCTCTCCCTAGCCATTTTAAAAACCTTAAGGGGTAGCTCGAAAGGGAAAACCCAAAGAGGACAATATTTGCTAGCAGTGGGCTTGGGTGGTTACAAATGGTATCAGAGCCAACACTTGGCGATATGTCATCGAGGAGGTTGAGCCCCGAAAGAGATGTGAGAATGTTTACTTAATCCACCACACCTAAATGGTGTGAAAGTTATCTACTTATAATCAAATAAATTACAAGGATATGGAAAGATACTTATGGTAAGAAAGACAAATATAGATATTTGCCTTATAATAAAATATCAAATATGACATATATGTTAAACTATAATTTAGTACTAAATATCCTTAACACCCCCCGTAAGCTAAGCGTCTGATTTGAACGAACATGAAGCTTAGATCTAAAAAATTTAAAGAGAGGTCGAGAAACACTTTTCGTGAAGATGTCAACAACCTGGTTCGGAGGAGGCGTAGAGAAACACTTTCTTGCCCATCGAAAACTATAGAAGGATCGTCGCTCAACGGCGATGCTACCTTGGCTTCGGCGAGATTATGTCTAACCCATGAAGAGGGATCGTCACTCAGCGACGATGCTGCCTTGGCTGCAGTGAGAATATGTTAACCCAAGAAATAGAAGGGGAAACCTCGCAAGGGACAAAGACAATGTTGAAGCCGGAAGAGTTGCCACAGTGGGCAAAGAAGCCAATTTTGGCGAGAAGGGAGGCGGCGACTTGGTTGGCGAAGAGGCCAATGCGGCGCCTAGATTCCAAAGGTAAATCTCTGCAGAAGGTCGATAGGTTTAGGTTAGGGTTTCTGTGAAGGATGAAGAGAAGATTGTGAAAAAAATGAAAGACACTATGTTAGTTGAGGGAAAATCGATTGTGTTGGAAAAGGTGAGGTTGTATGTACCCAGTATGACGAAGGATGATTTGGAGGTCAAAAGGGTAGAGTAAAACAGTAATCAATCGGCTCTGCCTGCAACAGCCATGATGACTGCCCCTGCGACGTCAAAGCCAACAGTGGTGGTGGAAAAGAATATGAGTAGGGGATTCATAAACTATTGAAAATAAAGGATCGAGGTTGCTAAACCAAAAGGGCTATGATACCATGAGAATGTTTGCTTAATCCACCACACCTAAATGGTGTGTGAAAGTTCTTTATTTATAATCAAATAAATTATAAGGATATGAAAATAGTAATAAATATAAAGAACAATATATGAAAAGGAAAATGAAAGTCCAAAGAGGACAATTTCTGTTAGTAGTGAACTTGAGCGGTTACAAATGGTATCAGAGCCAGACACTAGGCGATATGCCATCAAGGAGGTTGAGCCCTGAAGGGGGTGGATATGAGGCGGTGTGCCAGCAAGGACGCTGGACCCCGAAGGGAGTAGATTGGGGGGTCCCACATCAATTGGAGAAAGGAACGAGTGCCAATGAGGATGCTGAGCCCCGAAAGGGGGTGGATTGTGAGATCCCATATCAGTTGGAGAGGAGAACGAAATGTTCTTTATAAGGGTGTGGAAGCTTCTCTCTAGCATACGCGTTTTAAAAATTTTGAGGGAAAACTCGAAAGGGAAAGTCCAAAGAGGATAATATCTGTGTTACAGAAACATAAGGTCACGAGTTAACGTGAATGTTCAATCTATCCATATCCAAACTCAGTCCAGCCAAGATTTCAGTCCTCAGAAGAAAAAAAAAATGTAACAAAATGGGTTGAAGAACTGTACAAGTCTTTCTATCTCGATCCTTTGGTTGACAGTCTTATGAGTTTCATGGTTTTGAGACTTTGGAAACTTGATAACAAGAAAGTTTAATGCAATTCTAAACACTAGTTTAGCAAGACCTCGTTCATGACAACTCGATAGCTATAAGATTGTGTTGGAGCGCCATGAAGGAAGACTATAGTTCCCCGCCGGCTGTTGGCGGCCCCTGCATGATCACAAGATATCCAATGTTTATCATTGAACCAAATAACTTGGAAGTAGCTAAAATGACATACCTGTCTCTCTAACAAACCATCTGAATTTTCCAGATTTGACGTAAGAGCCATATTCCTTTCCCTTGTCCTCTATCCTCTATTGAAAGATACACATGTTAGATGATTAATGTGCACAATGAGATGCAAATTCAGCCATTATGAAAAATCCTTGGAAACTACAAGAAGATTGATGAAATAAGCAAGTTATCAACATAATGACCTACAGATTTTCTCGACAAAGAACTCTATAGAATTTTTAAACATTAAATTGGAGATCAAATCCCCTGATCATATGCTACTCATTTTCAATTGATGGTCAACTTGAACATAAGAAGAAAAAAAATTAGGTATCTCAGTCACAAGCGAGATACACATATGAAACACATCGATCCTAAGAACGCGAAGAGAAATCAGAGAACAACAGGTCATAGACGAATTATGACAGTTGACAAGCACGATGAAATCGGTTCCACGCGTAGCTTGAATCGGTAATTTCCCGAAAAACTCATCAATCAATTTACTAATTAATTAACAGAACGGGGAATTAAATTTTCCGAGACGATTACCAGATCACTAGTTTAAAGTTAGTTTTGATGCGATGGAAAATGAATCGTACTTACATAGAGCATCTGCCCGACATTTCCATCCTCAGCGGGGCTCTCAGGAAGTTGAATCGCACTTCGGCTTGACGGATTGTCTGTCACGAACCCAAACGGATTGAAGCCGGGAGAATCAGAGTCGGCCTCGCCCGTTTCGTCTTTGCCCTTGGCACTGACAGTTATTCTGCCGCCGGCGGTTGCCGGTCTGATTCTTGTGGTGGCGGGAGTGAAATAGTAGTACGATTTTGTGGAGGCGGAAAGGGAAGAGAGTGGATAAGACGACGGTACGCTGAGAGGCTGAGAGAGAACAACCCTGGCCATTGGCTCCGTGACAGGTTTCGAGGCTGTGAACCAACGGTTTTAACGGACTTTTTTTAAGTCCTGTTCTTTTTTTTATGCTTACAGTATATTTATTTTTAATATAAAGTTCAATATATATTTTATGTAACTTTACACATTTCAATTAAGTATGTTTTAAACATCTTTAGTTTGGTCCTTAACCATTAATTAATGTTTAATGATTTCTTAATCAATAACATTTTTTTTCTAAATAATTTTTTTAATATAAGCTAAATATATATTTTAATGTGTATTATTTTAGTCTCGATAATTTTAAACATTTTAATTTAGGGCTTCATACATTATCAATTTTTAGTTGAGTGGTTGATTGTTAAAAAAGAAATCGCTATTTTTCAATTAAATCAATTAATAATTTAATTGATTTAATTGAAAAAAAAAATCTTTTGCGTAAGTTTCTACCTATTTTATAATTTTATAATTTTAAATAAATTTTGTGAGATCTGGCATCTTTGGAGATAATGATGGAACTTTTTTTTTTTATTTTTTTATTTTTATATAAGTATAAAAATCTATACCTAGTAGACGCATTATAAAATTGTGAGGTTAACGTTGATAAACCAAATTAGACAATATCTACTAGCGGTGGGGTTGAGTTGTTACAAATGGTATCAAAGGTAGATACTAGACGATATGCTAGTTAGGACGCTAAACCCTTAAAGGGGTGAAGCATAAGATCCCACATCAGTTGAGAGAGGAACGAAACATTTATTATAAAAAGTAGAGAAACCTCTATCTAGTAGATGCGTTTTAAAATCGTGAGACTGATGATGATACAAACCTCTCTCTAGTAAACGCGTTTTAAAACTGTGAGACTGATTGCGATATGTAACGAATAAAAACAGACAATATCTACGTGGCGTTTATGATTCCATTATATATACACATTTTTTTTAAAATAAATATATTAGATACATTTAGTTAAAAAAAAAAAAAAAAATATATATATATATATTATTAAATAATAAAAAAAAATTTTAGGGTAGACTTTCGACTTACACGACGACGTTAAATAAGGTTGACCTTTATATCTTCTTATTCCATGAAACAATTATTACAGCCGTTGGATCAACCGAGCTCAACGAGATCATGTTATCAATGGCCGTAGCGCATTAGAACCTTGGAAAACCGGAATAAGAGGATAGTTTCGAAGCTTCCATCGCGGTGGTTGAGCTCGGCAAAGTTGGAAATCCACTGTACACAAAAAAAAAAAAAAAAATAGAGAAAATCGGATACTTACCGGACCCGACCCGCCGTGGTTTTCAGGTCGACGGCGTTGTTCCTTCTCGGATTACAGCTTCAGAATCGTCCAACGTCTATCTACGACTACGGCCAAGATCTCACGTTCTCCATCAATGTTCTGTAATTCCCTTCAATCCTCTCTCTTTTCTCTACTTGAACTGTCTTCCAGGGTTTAGTTTTATGCTGTCATTCTCTTTCCGGGATGTATTTTGAACTTCCTTTTGTGTACAATTGCATTGCGGGAAGGGGAAAGTTGAGAGACGACAGAAACCAAGTTATTTTTTCGTGTTAAAAATTTGGTAATTCGACGATTTGTGATGTTTGTCTGTTTTCACCTGAAGGATAAGATTCAAGATTGTTGTTGAGTTTTGATTTCTGGTAATCTTCAATGGTGGATTTGCTTGGAACTTATGTGATCAGGGCGCAGGAAGGAAATCCCTAATTTAATGTTTCAGGAACCTGAGATACACAGAAACCGATTTGTTACCTGGTAGTTTCTTGTAGATTCTCGTGTTGTCTGAATCATTTTGTTTCTCTTGACATAAAATTTCTTCCTAATTTGTAGAAACGAGTTTCTTTTGTTTACTTTTATGGCATTGAAACCTGATTAGTTTGTGAGCCGATGGAGACCTGGAATTGAGGATGGTTGAAAATTGAAGTACTTCATTGTACATTATCCTAATAGATTGATTTCGTTAATATAATTGTTAAGAACTGACTCTCTATACTTGTTTGATCTCTGCGAGCTGCTGGCTTGATTTTTACTTTACTGAAAAATTAGAGCCTAATCTGTTTATTGTCTTCCCGATCTGTCTCTGCCTTCCTCAGAATCTTAAGCCATTTAGTTTTGTAATTGTTCATATGCTGATTAAGAAACGGTTAATTCTTGTTAGGGGCTGAATGAATTATGGAAGAACCCTCTCTTACCAGTGACCAATCACCTCAGGTGGAACACAGTGGCATTCATAAAGATGGAAATGAAGATGCTCCAATTTTGGAGTTAGATGGCCGTCGTGGAAGGAAGGAATTTGTTGCACCTGCTGTTGGAATGGAATTTGAGTCTTATGAGGATGCTTACAATTACTATAATTGTTACGCTAAGGAAGTTGGTTTTCGTGTTAGAGTGAAGAATTCATGGTTTAAGCGGAATAGTCGGGAAAAGTACGGTGCGGTACTTTGTTGCAGTAGCCAAGGTTTCAAAAGAATTAAAGATGTTAACCGATTAAGAAAGGATACCAGAACAGGTTGTCCTGCAATGATAAGGATGAGGCTTATGGACTCACAAAGATGGAGGGTTCTTGAAGTTTCACTTGAGCATAACCATTTATTAGGTTCTAAGATTTACAAATCGATGAAGAAGATGAACGGTGGAGCTAAAAGGAAGATACAGTTGAGCTCTGATGCAGAAGATCGAACTATCAATTTGTATCGAGCACTTGTGATCGATGCTGGTGGTAGTGTGGCCACAGATACTAGTGCCAAAAAAGTTAGGATTATTCCCGATCATCGAAATCATTTGAACCTTAAAAAAGGTGATTCGCAAGCCATCTATAACTACCTATGTCGCATGCAGTTAACTAACCCAAACTTCTATTACTCGATGGATCTCAATGACGAGGGGCGCCTGCGTAATATGATTTGGGTCGACGCTCGATCAAGAGCTGCGTGTGCTTTTTTTGGTGATGTCATTTGCTTTGACAACTCATATTTGTCTAATAAATATGAGATTCCCCTTGTCGCATTTGTTGGAATAAATCACCACGGTCAGTCAGTGCTGCTTGGTTGTGGCCTCTTGGCTGGTGAGACAACAGAGTCTTATACTTGGTTATTTAGAGCTTGGCTGTCGTGTATGTCGGGCCGCTCTCCTCAAACGATTATTACAGATAGGTGCAGGCATTTGCAAGCTGCGATTACTGAGGTATTGCCGAAGTCTCAACATCGCTTTGGCTTGTCGTATATCATGAAGAAAGTGCCTGAGAAGCTTGGAGGATTGAGGAACTATGATGCCATCAAGAAGGCATTTAATAAAGCAGTTTATGAAACTCTGAAAGTGATTGAATTTGACTCTGCTTGGGGATTCATGATCCAACGATTTGGAATTGGCGATCACGAATGGCTTAGATCGCTATTCGAAGACCGAGGCCAGTGGGCTCCTGTTTATTTGAAAGACACATTTTTTGCTGGTATGTCTGCCATGGGTCGAGGGGAGAAACTAAATCCTTTCTTTGATAAGTATGTTCACAAACAAACCCCATTGAAAGAATTTCTCGACAAGTATGAATTAGCTTTACAAAAGAAGCACAAGGAAGAGGCATCTGCTGATATAGAATCAAGAAACTCTTCCCCCACTTTAAAAACAAGATGTTCTTTTGAGTTGCAGCTCTCAAAAGCGTTTACAAGAGAAATATTCACAAAATTCCAGTTCGAAGTTGAAGAAATGTATTCATGCTTCAGCACGACACAGTTCCAAGTCGACGGTCCGTTGGTCATATTCTTGGTGAAGGAACGCATAGTGAGCGAGGGCAATAGGAGGGAGATTCGAGAATACGAGGTTCTTTACAACAGAACCGCAGGCGAGGTTCGTTGTATATGCAGTTGCTTTAACTTCTATGGATATCTATGTCGACATGCGTTATGTGTACTTAATTTCAACGGGGTCGAGGAGATTCCTTCTAGATACGTGTTATCCCGATGGAAAAAGGATTATAAGAGATTGTATGTTCCAGATCACGAAACCGATATTGTCGATGGTTCCGAGCGTGTGCGATGGTTCAATCAGTTGTACAAAAGTGCCTTACAAGTTGTAGAAGAAGGGGTGATTTCTCTTGACCATTACAAGGCTGCATTGCAAGCGTTTGAGGAATCATTAAGTAGGGTTCATGAAACAGTAAGAGAAGAGAAGCATGAGTAAACTCCGACTGAAGCTCGATCGATACGACATGCTCGTCTAGATAGAAATAGTTGTTGCTATACCATTGATACGGAATTTTTACTGTGAATCAGTGTAAAGTCTTCTTCACTCTTTTCTGAATCATTTGCCTGTTTATGTCCTCTACGAACTTGGAGGGGTATTGAAAGTAAGAAGAATGGGCTGAGGTTTAAAATAAAGGGGGGTTGCTGATGAGATTGGAAGCTTTAATGTTCTAGTAGAAGTTCCAATTTTAATATTTGAGATATGAATATTCAAATATCTTAACCTCAATAAGAAGAAGAAACGAGTACATGTCAGCTTGTTTTATGAATGGAACATTTTATAGCATAGTTCAAATAATGAATTTTTCTTATAAATCGAATTATTTTATTAGTGTGTTATATTTATTAACTTAAAAATAAAATATGTCAATATTACTTTGTTAGAAGTTGAATTTAATTTTAAATGAAAAAAATTAGCTCCATTGATAGAATAATTTAAGAGTATACCGCGACAATATTAAAAAAAATAAAATAAAAATTTAAATATCATTTTAGTCTTTTTAAAATTTGTTTGATTTTAATTGGTATATATACTTTCAATAAAATTTTAAAATAGCTCATATTTTTAGTTTATGGTTAATTTTTTCTATCAATAAATTATAGAAATTTGTTCGCATAAAATAATTTATTGCAGGAAAATTATTACCATTATTTGATAATTTTTGGTAAAAATTATTAAAAATACTAAATTTAAAATTTATTAAAAAATAGCTGAAATACACCTTTGTTTTTTTTTAAAATTATATTTTCATACAAAAAAAAAAAAAAAAAAACTTTCAAAATGTCTATATATATATATATATATATATATATATATATTTATCGAATTTTCGTATTTTCCTTAAAGTTTAAAAATGTTTACTATAGTTTTGAAATTTGGACTTTTAAATACTTTCTAATTTAAAAATGAGAAAATTTGAGGGGGAAAAAAAAAAGAAAAAAAAAAGATCTTTCTATAATGGGCGGGATTCATAAGAAAGAGGGGAAAGATGAAGCGGGAAGCAAGGTGAAAACCCGCTGAATTTCGGTCACTTCGGCGCGAATTTTGCAGAGCTCCTAGTCCTTCTCCTCAAGCTCGCGTCTCGATTCCTCTACCAGAGAAGTTACTTACTGACCGCCATAGCCTCTGCTCTCAAGGTACGTTCTGTTCTATACTTCCCGTTTGCTTTCCAAGAAAACGATCCACTGAAAGAAAGCACCATCTAAGAAAAGGTTTTGATCCTGAGTTTCTATATCATTACTATTGTTTCAGTCATTTACTTTTGAAATTTGCGGAAAGAAAGACCTACTAGTGGATTGAGAAATGAAGTTTAAGGCATATCTGACTGATAATGGGGTAAATCTCCTGGAGAAGAGATTTCTACCTGCCCTAGACAAGATGGGCAAAATATGCCATCTCTATTTGACAAGAGAATATGTCATCTTCCTGCATAATCTCCTAAATGGTGATGGAATTCAATCAATTGCTCAGTTTCGTAAAGAAGCTCTGTTTGATGACTACCGAATCTCCAGCCAGAACGATGATCGTATTGCGTTTGCCATAGACATTTCGCTTCTCCACCGTGCAGTTCGTAGTAGTGTTAGCATTTGTTCTGAGTTTGGTAATGGTCCAACAGCGAATCGACTCCAAATTAAGTTGGTGAAGAAGTTGCCTCTGAATTGCACCCAATCAATGCCTTTCCTTACATTTGAGACTAAAGGTTACAAATCTGCTGTCATTCAGGATGTACCAATCTCAAAGCCTATGTCAAGAGGTCAAGTTCTTGAACTTCAAACTGCTCTAGATATGGCACAGGATTTGCCTCAGACGCTTGTGCAGGTTCCTGATCTTAACCAGTTGCAGAACTTTGTGGATCGAATGAAGAATGTTGGGGATTTGCTGAATGTCTCCATAAGCAAGTATGGAGATTTACATGTGCAGATTTTCACAACGTTGATCACTCTTGGTGCTGAGTATCGAAAGTTATTTGTTATAGGGGAACAAGCAAATGCTCCAGCTGAAGATCAAAATCTAAGTGCTCAGACTAGATCAACCAGAGCAATATCGAGGGGGGATGCTCAATCTGTACAGGTGAGTGTGAAGCACTTTGCCAAGAGTCTTCAGTATCACTTGGCCAAGCCAGATTGCACTTTCTATGGCATTGCTCCTCAGGGCGCCTGCTTGACTGTGATATTTCAGTTCTTCATTCCCGGCTCTCGGCAGACTGATAAATCAATCAGTCTACATTGCCGGCTTCCTGTTCTTGACCCTGGAACCAGTTGAATTCTGATTAACTTCTCTCATTTGACGTTATGAATCTATGTTAATGCCAAATGTAAGACATCTTGAATTTTTTTCTGTGGTCAGTTGGAAATGTTTGAGTTCTTCTTGAATACAAATACTTTGGTCAATTACTTGTGAATTTCGATCTCAGTAAACAGCTAGAAATAGACTAGAGAGGGAGGGCGGAGGTTGTTGATTCAAGAACTCAACGCCATCACCAGTAATCTTTACACGAACATAAACCATGTTTGAAATGGTGAAATCTGGTTCTGTCCCTAACAATTACTTCCCTATCATACACCTTTGAGATCAACTTTGCTACACTGTGACAATCCAGGCACATTCTAAGGTTCTTCACAATTCTAATTGTGACCCCAGGCGGTGAATTAATGAGTCCAAAAGCAATGGCCAGCTTCTCACTGTGACGAAAGACTGAATTCTCTTTATCCTCTTCTGCTATATCAAGGAACACTTTTGAGATATCTGGTGAATACCCTGCAAATTTCAGGTCTTGGGTCATTTTTTCTAGCTTAACATCAATTTCTTTGGTTTGAGGGTGTGACCGGTCCCCAGCTACGAATTCGTGAACTGTGCCGTTCATCTCTATCAAACTGCAACCAGGTATTTTCTTGATTCCTTTGTCCATCATCATCTGTCTCAGGTCTCGCAGGTCATTCCATCTCTTGCAAGCTGCATATATATTACACAGGAGAACATAGACTGCACCATTCTCAGGCTCCAACTCAAGAATCTGCTTTGCAACCATTTCGGCCATATTGGCTTCTCTATGAACTCTACAACCAGCTAGAAGAGCCCCCCAGACAATTGAATTGGGTTCTATTGGCATGTTCTTGATAACTTCATGGGCTTCTTTTAGACGACCAGCTCGAGCAAGAAGATCAACCAGACAACCATAGTGTGTTATATTGGGTTCAATACCATGTTGGGTTGTCATGCTAAGAAAAAACTCTCGTCCTTTATCGACCATGCCTGTGTGAGTACAGGCAGAAAGAACTCCAATGTACGTAACATCATCTGGTAAAATTGAAGCTTCTAGCATTTTAGAAAATATATCAAGAGCTTTCTCACCGTGGCCATTAACTGCAAGGCCAACTATTATGGTTGTCCAGGTAAACTTGTCTCTCTGGTGCATCTCTCTGAATACTCTTTCTGCTTTGTCAACATTTCCACACTTGAAGTACATGTCTATTAAAGCATTTCTAACAAATGCATCATTGTTGATCTTGTTCTTGTCGATATAAGTCTTTATCCATTCTCCCAACTCCAGGGCCCCTAGCTGTGCACAAGCAGTCAGAATACTGACCATAGTGAACTCATCAGGCTTTACACTGGTTGCTTGCATATGGCGGAATAAGTCGAATGCTTCCTTGAATCGGTTCGTGTGGAGGTATCCATCAATCATGGCAGTCCATGAAACACAGTCTTTCTCAGGCATTTGGTCGAAGTAGTTCCGAGCAACATCAATCTCTCCCAAGTTGGTAAACCCAGATACAATGGTCGTCCAAGATATGATATCTTTGTTGTTCATATTTCTGAAAATCCCAAGGGCAGAATCCATTTCCCCGCAGGCAGCATACATATCAATCAGAGCATTTTCAAGAACCAAATTGCTCTCAACCTTGCAGTTGTTCACACAACTATGAACGTGCTTCCCAGTTTTGAAATCCTTCAATTTGGAGCAAGCTGAAAGGATTAAAACAAGGGTCACCGTTGTGGGCAGCACTTGTTTTTCCTCCATACCAAGAAAAAGTCTTCTTGATTCCTCAAACTTCCCAACTTTATTGTAAGCAGCAATCATCATATTCCAAGCAATTACATCAGCCTTAGAACCAGCATCCAAGACCCCACGAGCCGTGTCCAGTAGGCCACACAAAAGATACATTTGCACCAAAGCAGTGTGAACAAAGACATTAGACAGCAGCCCATGCTTCAGAACATGGCCATGAAGCTCTCTTCCACATTGCAATGCAATGTCTCTTGTAAATCCCTTGAACAGAAAAGGGAAGGAGTAATTATCAGGCTTAACACCTCTCCTCAGCATTTCCAGGTACAAAGAAACTCCAAGCTCAGGAGAATCCAACCGGGAGTAGCCTCTGATCATGGTGTTCCAGATGAACAAATTCGGTTCAGGCATTTCATCAAACAGATGACGAGCATATTTCAAGTCACCGCATTCGTGGGTACAACAAAAGGCCATAACTCTGTTTTGAAGAACTGGATTGGCAGCGAGACCTGTTTTGATTGCTCGACAGTGAATTTGTTGAAGCTGGTCCATGGATTCACAGATCTCGAGAAGAGAGATTAGAGGGTGGGTGGTTGAAGAGAGGGGCTTTGAAGCTGTGCAGGCTATGGTGGCCATTTGCTTCAATTTTGTGAACATGTCGATGATGCAGCCCAGTCCTGAAACGCACCGGGGATGGCATGTGCCACGTTTCTTACTAATTTATTTCTTTTAATAAATTTTAAAATTAGCTGATTGTATTTTTTTTTTCATTTTCTAAACTTTATTTCATTTATTGATCATTATACTAGGTAAATTAGAAAAATTTCAAATTTTTAAAAGCTAAATTGAAAATTTTTAAACAAAGTTTTTGAGAGAGTATAATTATCAAAATTTAAAATTAATATTATCGTAGTTAATTGATTTTTACTGCGTCTAATGTATATTAGTCCATAAATTTTAATTTAGTTTATTGAGCAATTTAGTTGAAATAATTTAAAAATTAAAAAAATTTAATTATTATTAGGTTAAAAATAATTTTGATTCCAGAATTTTGAAGTAATAATATAAATGAATGATTTAGTAATTTTAGTTTAAAAGTTCTAACTCATCCTTAAAATCTGATAAAATTCTCTTAAATAATTTAATTTGTATAATAAAATTATTATGGATTAATTATGAGAGTTTTATTAAATTTAAAAATTATTTATGAAATTTTATATCATTTTTTTTTGCGGGTTTTTATATATATATATATTTTTTATAGAAGCATAAACAATTTCCCCCATTTTCTTCATCATCGTTGGGGAGAAAGTTGTAAAAAAACCACCCAGAGGCAGCGGTCAAAGCCTATTCCCGACTCCGAGTACGGAAACGATTCCGGAGGCAACCTCGGGGGGTTGCATGAAAATTTGGCGCCAATTCGATTCTCAGGCGATCTTCGGCTGCGGAGCCACTCTGTAACAACAAATTCATAGGAAATGAATCTTTACGCTCACGACCTGTCTGTGTTGGATTATAATTTTGGCTTCTCCGAACCGTACGGCGAGCCCTTCTCTCGCCATACCGTTCCCTCCGCTATTTCTTCAACTGCTTTCCTCAATGAAGACGACGACGTTTACCGTTCTAGCTGGGCTGCAAGGAATAATCGCGAAATGCCCGGCGGCAGTCCCCCCAATCGCCGGCATGACGGATCGTCGCCTCTTCCACTGGGAATGGACTGGAGTCCCCCTCCTCAGAAATGGGTACTGTTTTTTTTTTTTTTTTTTTTTTTTTAAATTTTTTTGGGNTTTTTTTTTTTTTTTTTTTTTTTAAAATTCTTTTGGGTGTTGCCTTTATTATTCATAGCTTCGGTTTTTGAATTATGAGTATGGTCCTGAATTACATATTTGTATCTTCGTTAAAATTCCTCCGTTGGGGTTTTTATTAGTTCGGTGGTAGTTTCAATATGATTGGAGCTGATTATTCTTTTTCCATAGGCCGTGTATAACATTGTGGATGAATTGATAATGTCTTTATTTAGTTGTTCATGAATTTCATACTGGGGTTCTTGCAAAAGCTAAATATCTTTGATATCGAACCGCACTGCTGCTTGCTATCTAAAATGATGTTATTAGGATGTTGATCGACGCTGCTCTGCTTTCGTGCGCGATCTTAGTTGGGGGACTTGGGGTTTGTGCTGTGGGAACTTCCTAAAAATGATATATCGTCCACGGACCATGGCTTGTTATAGTCAGGGCTTTGAGTTTGATTTGATATGCCCTATTCAGGGGGTTTTGGGTCAATTCTTTGTTATCTATATACATTTTATAAGACGCAAGTAGTTGTACTTGTAAACATGGAAGATTAGCTGTTTTTCTTCTCTCTCTCTCTGAGATTTCACATTGGTGGGAGATGGGAACGAAACATTCTTTACAAGGGTGTGAAAACCTCTCCTTAGCAAACACGTCTTAAAAACCTTGAGGGAAAATCGGAAAGGGAAAGTCCAAAGGGGACAATATTTGCTAGCGGTGGGCTTGGGCTGTTCCACTCTCTCTCAAACGTAGTTCTGCCTGCCCAGGATGGAAGAATTTGTTTCAAGTTTAGGATTTAAATGGTAGCTTTCCTTGTGTTTGTTCCATGATACTATGAACTAGTTTTGGTTGGAAATAATCCTTAAGTTTCTAATGTTAGTAGCGCAGATTGTGTTGGGCCCTGCTAGCACTCTATCAAATTACTTTGCGTTTATTGTCTTTTTATATTTACTAATTGGAAGTGATTATTCTGGGCTCTTAGCTCCTTCATGCTCAGGAGTGTTTTCTTATTATATCATTGAAACGTTTAATGTTTCTTTATAAAAAAAAAAAGGATGGACAGGGCACGGTGTGGCCTCACGATCCGCTCACTGGATGGAGTTACTGTGTCACAATTCCTTCATGGACTACAATTCCGAAATCAAATGGTTCAGAACCTGTGGTGGTAATTTCCATGTTTCTGTTGTTTGTCTTTGAATGCAGAAATATTAGGCATTGATATACGTGTGCGGTTTTTTTTTTTAAAGATAGATATATATGTAAATTGCTTGAAGAAGTTAGGCGTTCTTCCTCCGAACATGGCTGTGTTGCTCAATATTTAAAGAAGCTTTATGATTTCTATCTTATGCTTTACAAAATTTACAGTTTTACACGGTTCAAGTTGGATTGCAATCTCCAGAAGGTAACTATTCTACAAGAGAGATATCAAGAAGATTTAACGAGTTTCTAGAGCTATTTTACGAGGTAACATTTATTATATTCTGTTTCTTAAAATTGTTACTGTTCCTCGTCATGTACTACTTATATTAATTTTAGGCGTTACTGTAATTTATAAAAACAGATTCATCTTTAACCATGTTTTTAATCTATCTGTGCTCTTCATTATCTTTTGTAGCTCAAAAAAGTATTGCCTAAGAAACAATTGCCTCCAGCTCCCCCAAAAAAGGTTTTGAGAATGAAAAACAGCGCCTTTTATGACGAGGTAAGTAGTAAATGAATCTTAAGGTTCAATTATTATTATTATTATTTTTTATTTTATTCCTGAAGGCGAAAACTGTTTAATCAAGTATGAAGATGTACAACGTATGACCGACAATTGTGCATGATAAATATGACGACTTATCAAATCAAGGAAACGAGAATATTCTAAAATGCCTATATTATTTCATTGCAGCGGAAGTCTTCCTTGGAGGAATGGATGGAAAAGATGCTGTCAGACATCGACGTATCAAGAAGTGTTCCAGTGGCAAATTTTCTTGAACTCGAAGCTGCGGTGAGATCATGTAGGTGTCATATGGTTGCATGCTCGCTGACATACGGGAAAGGAAGTTTAGAAATAAAAACTTGAATAACCACAAATGATTTAAGTGAACATGTTAGACATGTTCGGTCAATTATGATCATCTATTAACGTTGTATGTTAACCAGTAGCTGACTCGTTGTGTTTTAATTTTTCAGTTTTCAGTGATGTTAATCCCCAGATATCGAAGGAGGTTTCTTCTAATATTACGCTAACAAGCTCAACTATTTCTATTGCTGCTGCTTCTTCTGTTGCCTCCAGTCCACATGATGATGCGTGTTATGTGGAACCTGAACTTGTAGCTCCAAGACATGGAGATAACGAGGGTGTAGAATTGGAAATCGATAAACCTGCGCTGGAAAAAGCTCGAACAGACATGGAAAATCTTGTAGTAAGATCGAACCAAGAAGTGTCTGAGAAACAATTCCTTGCAACAAAGGTGTGGGTGATTTGATTGTGGGCCATTTATTTGCTTTAGGTTTTCCTCTTTTTTGGTCATAAATCTCTTATTTACTTCTTTTGATCTCATCGTCGGGTTTCAAACGGCTAAGTAAATGCCTTGATCTTTTTCCAGGATGAACAAGTGCCCACAGAATCAACAATGATGTCAATTTTAGAGGAGAACAAAGTTTTGATGCAAGAGTTGGATGCTTCAAGAGAACAGCTCCAGTACTTGCAAAAACAATATGAAGAGTTTGTGATAAAATCAAAATCCGACGTCGAGTTGTTTGTCAATGAAATTAAATCTCTTCGAGGTGCTCAGATAGACTTGAAGCAGGAGTGCAGCCAATTGATGGAAGAGAAATCAGGATTAGAGGTAAGATTCTCCTTTTCACCATGTAGGTTCCTAGTTTTATACTGTTAGCTGGTTAAAATTTAACACCGACGTTCTGTGTAACCTGTCTGCTAATTCGTGACCAATTTCGTGGTTCTTGCGGCGTAAGGCCTTTTAAGTGGGAAATTATTTGAAGCTTGGTTGCGAGTTTAATGTAGAATAGGGGGAATCATATGTGCATCGAGTTGACGATTATAACTTAAAACAGATATTTTTTAATCTATGAGAGGATGTTGCGACACGAAACTTTCCCGAAAAAGGTTATAGTTGAATTTGAGATCCCACATCGGTTGAAGAGGGAAACAAAACATTCCTTATAAGGGTGTGGAAACCTCTCCCTAGTAGACGTGTTTTAAAACCGTGAGGTTGACGGCGATACGTAACAGGTTAAAACGGACAATATCTGCTAGTGGTATGTTTGGGCTCTATTACAAATGGTATCAGAGCCAGACACCGAGTGGTGTGCCAACAAGGACGCTGGACCCCAGGGGGAATGAATTGTGAGATCTCACATCAGTCGGAGAGGGGAATGAAACATTCCTTATTAGGGTGTGGAAACCTCTCCCTAATAGACGCGTTTTAAAACCATGAGGTTAACGGCGATACATAACGAGCCAAAGCGGACAATATCTGCTTGTAGTGGGCTTGTGCTTTTACAAATGGTATTAGAGCTAGACACTGGACGGTCTGCCAGCGAGGACGCGGGATCCCAAGGAGGGTGGATTGTGAGATCCCCACATTAGATGGAGAGGGGAACGAAACACTCCTTATAAGTGTGTGGAAATCTCTCTTCCTAGTAGATTCGTTTTAAAATTATGAAGCTGATGGCAATACATAACGGGTCAAAATCGACAATATCTGTTAGTGATGGGCTTGGACTATTACACGATGCTTCCTCTATAGATTTTGAGGAGAAGCAACGAAACGATGGCGGACCAATGCATAAGCATAGATAAAGGAATTATTGGTAGCTTTTGGGTGTCCAATGTCAGTGACTAAGATGCAAACTGTTTCGGTGATCTCAGAAGCTTATTTTGGTTTAGTTTCCCCCAGCCTTTGTATGTAATGTGTATTTGCCTTCTCTGATAACATGTAGTATTTGCTCTGTTTTCTTTAGAGGCTACTTCAACCTGAAAAACATAGAATGGAGCAAGCTGATATTGCTAATCAAAAGCTTCTGCACGATTACGAATTTCTTCAATGCCGCCTTAAAGACTCTAGTGTCGACTTTTTCGTCGAGGAGGAAGATAAACTAATTCTCGAATCGGCACCAACAGCTGATGATGCTATAGAACTGTTGGCAACATCTGATAATCTCATTAGCCTTCTTTTAGCAGAGGTACTTCTTTTGTTTCCATTTAAATGTATTTGCATTATGAACACCTTGATGATCCTGAATGTCACATATTTTGGTACGTACAACCAGGCAAAGCTGCTCGCACGTGATGCCGAAGCCGATGGCATGGCTGGATCAGCTACTCCAAATGGAACTGATGAAGGGGCAGGTGACAAAGTATTAAGGAATGTACTAGCGAACATGTTCGTCGAAAATGCCCGATTAAGGATGCAGGTGAACTCTGTCATCCGTTGTGCTCTAAGTGCAAAAGGGATCACTGAGAAAGATGAAGATGAATCTGTCCAGGAAGAACTGTTGTTCTAAACACGTTTTTAGAGGAAGAGATTCCCAAAAAATGGGAGAATGTTCTTGATAGATATTGGAGCGTGAATTGACATTTTCATTTTAACTTATAAAAATATATCAACAGAACATTAGTAATGTAAACTTAATATTTATTTTCATAGGTTAAGATGTTTATCCATTAATTTAAATACATTTGTATGATTTTTTTTATATAAATTTGTAGTTTTTTCATCAAATTTTAAAATCTCGCTTTTACCTCGAGCTAAGAAGATAATGTTTTTCAACGTGGAGTTTGAATAAAATTTTATTTATGTATAAATAAAATGAAAATAAATTATATGTTTTGGTTCTTCATGTTTGGATATCTCGACTAAATTTAAGGAAGAAAAAAAAAACGATCTCGACCCTCTAAAAATAACCTAATAAAGACACTTAAATTATTATGTGAAACTGGCTCCATGTTCGATCCACATTCACCACCGAAAAATTCAAAGATCGCTTTGTCATTTATCATATTCAACGATCCAATTGTGGGGATTGCTCGTGTGTTTGATGAACGCTCAATGCACATTTTTATTTTCCATTTCATTTTTAATGGGCTGGGTTTTTATTTAAGAAATGCGGAAAGCCAACAAGACTATAATCAATAGGCTCATTTTAAAAATCCAACAAACTCAAGGGTCGCTTTATTATTTACCAGATCCACCACACAATTGCGGGGATAGCTCAGTTGGGAGAGCGTCAGACTGAAGATCTGAAGGTCGCGTGTTCGATCCACGCTCACCGCATATTTTTTACTTACCATTTCATTTTTAATGGGCTGGGCTTTTTTTAGAAATTCGGAAGCCCACAAGACTAAGGCCCATTTTAAAAAGCCGACAAACTTAAAATCGGTTCATTATAGCGGGGATACCTCAGTTGGGAGAGCGTCTGAAGATTTGAAGGTCGTATGTTCGATCCACGCTCACCGCATACTTTTACTTTCCATTTCATTTTTAATGGGCTGGGCTTTTTTCTAGAAATGCTGAGGCCCACAAGATTATAATCATTAGGCCCATTTTACAAAGCCGACAAACTCAAGGGTCGGTTCGTCATTTAACAGAATCCGAGACCCAATTGCCTCCATTTTAGTCCCTTCTCATTTATTTCCCTCACCCATTAGCCGCGCTTCCACTGAGTGGGCAAGGCAGCTTAACACCCTAAAGCCCTAGAAACCGCCATTGAAGAAGCTCCGAGCTTCTTCCTCTTACCAGTTCGTCTTGTATAGAGTTTTCATCTCTGGAACCGATCTGGAGTTTGGAGTTTCGAGGTCTTAATTGTTAGGTTAGATTTAGCTTGGCGACTCAAGATGTGGAACAATGGACAGATTGCACCGCCGGGTACTGGTGGCTCTTCTATTCCGCCACCGCCTGCTGCACAGCCTTCGTACACGGTGTTGCCTTCTCCTGCTGAGGCCGAGGCCAAGCTCGAGGAGAAAGCTAGGAAATGGCAGCAGCTGAATTCGAAGCGGTACAGTGATAAAAGGAAGTTTGGATTTGTTGAGACTCAGAAGGAGGATATGCCCCGCGAACATGTGAGGAAGATCATTAGGTGAGTTTGTTTATATAAACTGTTCTGAATATTTGAATCCTTCTCTTCTTTCTTTCAACGTGATAACTGACGCATCTCTATTTCTTGTTTTCCCTCTTGATGTTTGTTTGGACGACCTAGTGAAATATTCGAATTAACTTAGCTTTGCTGAAAATTGGTTTGTTAGTCTTTTAGTTTCGATAATTGGACTTGATTCTTCTTGTTTCCACGACTCCAATGTATAGTTTCTTGCTTATGTTTTGGTATTGAAATCCACTCCGTCGGGAAGTTTTTGAAGATCTTCAACACATGTAACTTTCTTCCAAGTCCGTAACTTCGAATGTCTTTGAAATTTAAAGATATTTTTTTAAAAAATTCAGAGTTGTTCTTTGTGCGTTAACTGCTTCGAGGGAAGAATTCTTATGCCTCTTATTATGATACTTTCATTTCTTTATTTCTTCAAGGAGTCGATTACGCTTAACCATTGTGTAAATGAATTTTATTTTTTTCTTCTTACTGAAGTGTGTATTACTAGAAACAAGCAAATCGAAGTCTTAAATCTACCATACTGCTTGTTAGATTGGTTTGACGAACTACTGAAGAATTCACGCTTCATGCTGTTCAATGTTCAATCTTCATATGAATATTACAATATGTGATATATCTTCTTTGTTTTCAACATGAAACTATAATTTTAGTTTCCATAGGGTTCTGTTGCTGCCCTCCGAAGAGAAGAAAAACCTTATTTGATGCAGTGGTTGTGGTGCTGTTTTGTAGTGTTAGGGAAATTTAGTTGGAATGGTATCAAAGAACCTCTCATGCCTCACGAGGTTAAGGTTTCTTGGGGTATTATTGGGATTCACTTATTTTTGTTGTTCCTATTGCTCCTTGGGGTTTTACTTTTTGATGTATGTAATTTGTTTCACTATTGAGACTCCTTTATTTTGTTTCACAATAGAGTAGAATAAAAGAAGCTTCTGTTATCTCTAAACAATTTAACTGTTAATGGTTTGTTAGTATGCTGGGTATTCATATTGTATCTAATTTTTATCTTCACTTTGGCAGAGATCATGGGGACATGTCCTCAAAAAAATATCGTCATGATAAACGTGTTTATCTTGGTGCCCTAAAGTTTGTTCCACATGCAGTTTACAAGCTGCTTGAAAATATGCCAATGCCCTGGGAACAGGTATCCTTTGCCTTTCTGTTTTGTGTTGTTTTGGAACTATATTTCTTCTTGTATTTTTGATTGTTAAACGTAATAGCTTCCAATTACAGGTCCGTGATGTAAAGGTTCTATATCATATTACCGGGGCAATCACATTTGTTAATGAAATACCATGGGTGGTTGAACCTATATATTTGGCTCAGGTATTTTTCTTTCTCCTTTTTTCCCAGTTTATTACTGCAGTGACTAATGTTGTATATGAACTTTTCAGAATACAATTAGGATGATAATTATCATGTTGTGCTAGTAGCAATACTATTTGTGATTAACCTCTTTTCTTTTCTTTTCTTTGTTTTTTTTCTGTTTTTTTTTTTAATTTTATTTTTATACAGTGGGGAAGCATGTGGATTATGATGAGAAGAGAGAAGAGAGATCGTCGGCATTTCAAGAGGATGCGTTTCCCACCATTTGATGATGAGGAACCTCCTCTAGATTATGCTGATAATTTGCTGGATGTTGATCCTTTGGAACCAATTCAGTTAGAGTTGGATGAGGAGGAGGATTCTGCTGTTTACACCTGGTTCTATGACCACAAGCCTCTTGTTAAAACAAAGCTTATCAATGGTCCAAGTTACCGGAAATGGCATCTTTCCCTTCCAATCATGGCTACTCTTCATCGGCTAGCTGGACAGTTACTCTCTGATTTAATTGATCGGAACTATTTCTACTTGTTTGATATGGAGTCTTTTTTTACAGCGAAAGCATTAAACATGTGCATACCAGGTATGCCTTTTCATTATCATTTCTTCTAGTATTATATTTATACAAATATGAAATCATGCAGACACACGCACACATAACGCCAAAGAAGGTTGCCTTGATCACTTGAATGTTTGGAGCTGTTGACTGAACTGTCTACTGTTCCACTGTATAGTATCACTTTATTCATAGAAGTTTCTGTGGCATCAAAACACACATGCAGATATGAATATCTAATGTTAAAGAAGGTTGTCTTGATCTCACTTGAAATGTTTGGAGCTTTTGGATGAACTTTTAACTGTTTTATTGGACAGTATCACATTATTCATTGAAATTTCTGTGGAATCTACAGCTTTGGTTTTTAGTCACTAAGATAGGATTCTGTTAGGCATTTCCTTAGCTTGATGTTTTCTTTTTCCATAACTCATGTAATCCATGATGCTTCTTTAGGTGGACCAAAGTTTGAGCCATTGTATCGTGACATGGAGAAGGGTGATGAAGACTGGAATGAGTTTAATGACATCAACAAACTCATAATACGGTCACCTCTTAGAACGGAGTATCGGATAGCATTTCCTCACCTTTATAACAACAGGCCAAGAAAAGTGAAGCTTGGTTTATATCACACTCCTATGATTATGTACATCAAGACTGAAGATCCGGACTTACCAGCATTTTACTATGATCCTTTAATACATCCAATAACCAGCACCAATAAAGATCGCCATGAAAAGAGAACTTATGATGATGAAGATGATGATGATTTTGAATTGCCAGAGGGGGTTGAACCTTTTTTGAAGGACACTCAACTTTATACAGACACCACAGCTGCAGGCATCTCTCTTCTGTTCGCTCCACGCCCTTTTAACATGAGATCTGGTAGAACACGTCGGGCTGAAGATATTCCCCTGGTTTCAGAGTGGTACAAGGAACACTGGTAGGACTCTTCTCTTTTTGTAAATTTCACTAACTTGTTTTAGTCATTTAAAATTTCTGAGTTCTTCTGATTGTATTGTGTGCAGTCCTCCATCATATCCTGTTAAGGTTAGGGTTAGCTATCAGAAGTTGTTGAAATGCTTTGTGTTGAATGAGCTGCATCATAGACCACCCAAAGCTCAGAAAAAGAAGCATTTATTCCGGTCACTTCAAGCAACCAAATTTTTCCAGACAACTGAACTTGATTGGGTTGAAGCAGGTCTGCAAGTCTGTAAGCAGGGGTACAACATGCTGAACTTATTGATTCATAGAAAAAATTTGAACTATCTTCACCTTGATTATAACTTCAATCTGAAGCCAGTAAAGACCCTAACCACCAAAGAACGTAAGAAGTCACGGTTTGGAAATGCTTTTCACCTCTGTCGTGAAATATTGCGGTTGACAAAGCTTGTTGTTGATGCTAATGTTCAGTTTCGTCTGGGTAATGTTGATGCATTTCAATTGGCTGATGGCCTACAGTATATATTTTCACATGTTGGACAGCTCACTGGAATGTACAGGTACAAGTACCGACTTATGCGTCAAATTAGAATGTGTAAAGATTTGAAGCACTTGATATACTATCGCTTCAATACTGGTCCAGTGGGAAAAGGGCCAGGATGTGGATTTTGGGCACCGATGTGGAGAGTCTGGTTATTTTTCCTCCGTGGTATAGTTCCTCT